CCAATATGTGTATGTGTGTCCAATGTGTGTATGTCCAGTGTGTGTGTCCAATGTGTGTGTGTCCAATATGTGTGTGTCCAGTGTGTATGTGTGTCCAGTATGTGTGTATATCCAATGTGTGTGTGCAGTATATGTGTGTGGTCACTATGTATGTATGTCCAACATGTGTGTATGTCCCTGTTGTAAGGGACAAGATTATGTGAAGCATTTGGTATTGGCGTGGTGAGTGAGCTTAAGGTTACCATCATACACTATGGCAAGTGTTACCATCATACACTTTAGCAAGTGTTACCATCATACACTATAGCAAGTGTTACCATCATACACTATTGAAAGTGTTACCATCATACACTATAGCAAGTGTTACCAACATACACTTTAGCAAGTGTTACCATCATACACTATGACAAGTGTTACCATCATACACTATGACAACTGTTACCATCATGCACTTTAGCAAGTGTTACCATCATACACTATGACAACTGTTACCATCATACACTATAGCAAGTGTTACCACCATACACTATAGCAAGTGTTATCATCATACACTATGGCAAGTGCTACCATCATACATTATAGCAAGTGTTATCATAATACACTATAGCCAGTGTTACCATCATAGACTATAGCAAGTGTTACCATCATGCACTTTAGCAAGTGTTACCATCATACACTATGACAACTGTTACCATCATACACTATGGCAAGTGCTACCATCAAACATTATAGCAAGTGTTATCATCATACACTATGGCAAGTGTTACCATCATACACTATGGCAAGTGTTACCATCATACACTATGACAACTGTTACCATCATGCACTTTAGCAAGTGTTACCATCATACACTATGACAACTGTTACCATCATACACTACAGCAAGTGTTACCACCATACACTATAGCAAGTGTTATCATCATACACTATGGCAAGTGCTACCATCATACATTATAGCAAGTGTTATCATAATACACTATAGCCAGTGTTACCATCATAGACTATAGCAAGTGTTACCATCATACACTATAGCAAGTGTTATTTATTTATTTAGGCATTTTTATATAGCGCTTACCTTAAAGCTCTAAGCGCTTTACAATGATTAAAAACATGTAAACTAACTAAAATAAAAATGAGACATTAGGATAGTAACTACTATACTATAGAAACAATTAAAGTGTTACCATCATACACTATTGCAGGTGTCATCATCATACACTATAGCAAGTTTTACCATCATAATAATAATAATAATAATAATAAAGTTTATTTGAAAAACACGCTTCATCCCCAAAAGCTCGAAGCGCGGTACAAAGTCAACCATATTAAAAAGAGAAATAAAAACAATCTAAAATTTACCACATTTAAAAAACAGACGCAACAATATAAAACTACATACGAGCATACCCAGTCAAAGTCTTTCATCCCGTTTCAACCATAAGCAACACAAGCCAATATACATTAACTGAAAAAGATGGTAGATAGCATCACCCCAGAAGGTGTTTGCGAAATAGATGTGTTTTTAAATCGGTTTTAAAGGACTCCAGTGTCTGGCTGTTTCTGAGAGCGACTGGAAGGGCGTTCCAAATTGTTGGGCCGGCAAATGCAAAAGTGCGCTTTCTGTAAGTCTCAAGGCGAACACACGGTATCGATATTTTGCCACTATCGGATGAGCGGAGCTGTCTAGTGGGTACATAAGGCGTCATGAGTGCTTTGAGATAAGATGGCGCCAGGTCATGTAAGCAGCGGTAGCACAAAGTTGCAATTTTGTACTCTATGCGAGCGCGGAAAAGCAACCAGTGCAGCTCTATCAGAAGTGTTTTAGCATGGTCGAATTAGCGTTTGCGAAGAACAATGCGAGCCGCATTATTCTGTGCTCTTTGAATTTTATCCAGGAGCGTAGCTGGGAGACCCACCATGAGAGCATTGCATTAGTCCATACGTGATAGCACAAATGCAGACATCATCCTCTTTGATGCATCTAACGTTAAGAAAAGTCTGATATAACTAATCCTGCGCAGCTCTAGAAATATTGCCGTGCAAAGCATGTTAATGTGATTTTCCATAGATAGTGTTCTGTCTAAGTAGACACCCAGGTCTCGCACTGTTTGAGCAAACTCAATCTGTATACCTGAGGGAGTAAGTGATGTTGTGTTTTTTTTTACAGATTTTTGTTACTGATCAGTGGCAATGGGGATCAGCTCAGTCTTTTCATCATTCAATTTGAGCTTGTTTATGGTCATCCAGGGCTTAACTGACTGCACTGTCTTCTGTGTCGTACTAAGAAGTTGAGGAAACTTAGAGGGGATCACGGAATGATGACGTTGTGTATCGTCCGCGAACATGTGATACAGCATGTCAAATTGCATGTCATACACTATAGCAAGTGTTACATTTATCAAATAAAAAGTTACATTGTTACATGTTAATTTGAAGAAGTCTAAGACAATAATTTCTTCGACCACAGGATTATGACCTCAAACATGTCATTTTTCGAGTGAGGGCACACAATGGAGTCGTCGCGTGAGCCCTGCAACCCTTGTAACCCCTGCGACTGCAGAGAATCTTGGATAAATAACGGGTCCAAATTTGTCACGTGGAAATTTTTAAACTGTCAATTTTTGATTAATGGGGTACAAAACCGAAAAGTGTCAGACCCCCCCCCCCCCCCCCCCCCCCAAAATAATATATTTTTTTTTTTAAATCACGCAACGGCTCTGCCCAGAAAACGAAGCAGAACATACTGACACACAGACAGACAAACATACATTCTTGTCTATAAACTTGTAGAAATAAAATAAGTAAATAACAGAAAATGAAATTAATTTGTTACCACCAATGGCTCATTAAAAAAAAAAAAATTCACAATATTTCTGTAAAAACTTTTCTGTTAAAATTCATAAATCTTTCTATTAAAATGTTCATAAAACTTTCTGTTAAAATGTTCATAACTTTTTCTGTTAAAATGTTCTTAAAACGTTCAGTTAAAATGTTCATAAAACTTTCAGTTAAAATGTTCATAACATTTTCTGTTAAAATGTTCATAAAACTTTCAGTTAAAATGTTCATAACATTTTCAGTTAAAATGTTCATAAAACTTTCAGTTAAATGTTCATAAAACTTTCAGTTAAAATGTTCATAAAACTTTCAGTTAAAATGTTCATAAAACTTTCAGTTAAAATGTTCATAAAACTTTCAGTTAAAATGTTCATAACATTTTCTGTTAAAATGTTCATAAAACTTTCAGTTAAAATGTTCATAAAACTTTCAGTTAAAATGTTCATAATATTTTCTCTTAAAATGTTCATAACACTTTCAGTTAAAATGTTCTCAAAAAGTTCATTTAAAATGTTCATAAAACCTTCAGTTAAAATGTTCGTAACATTTCTGTTAAAATATTCATAAAAATTTCAGTTAAAATGTTCATAAAACTTTCAGTTAAAATTTTCATAAAACTTTCAGTTAAAATGTTCATAACATTTTCTGTTAAAATGTTCATAAAACTTTCAGTTAAATGTTCATAAAACCTTCAGTTTAATGTTCATAAAATTTTCAGTTAAAATGTTCATAAAACTTTCAGTTAAAATGTTCATAAAACTTTCAGTTAAAATGTTCATAAAACTTTCAGTTAAAATGTCATTACATTTGCGGTTAAAATGTTCATAAAACTTTCAGTTAAAATGTTCATAACACTTTCAGTTAAAATGTTCTTAAAAAGTTCATTTAAAATGTTCATAAAACCTTCAGTTAAAATGTTCATAACATTTTCTGTTAAAATGTTCATAAAAATTTCAGTTAAAATGTTCATAAAACTTTCAGTTAAAATGTTCATGAAACTTTCAGTTAAAATGTTCATAACATTTTCTGTTAAAATGTTCATAAAACTTTCAGTTAAATGTTCATAAAACCTTCAGTTTAATGTTCATAAAATTTTCAGTTAAAATGTTCATAAAACTTTCAGTTAAAATGTTCATAAAACTTTCAGTTAAATGTTCATAAAACTTTTAGTTAAAATGTTCATAAAACTTTCAGTTAAAATGTTCATAAAACTTTCAGTTATAATGTTCATAAAACTTTCAGTTAAAATGTTCATAAAACTTTCAGTTAAAATGTTCATAAAACTTTCAGTTAAAATGTTCATACAACTTTCAGTTAAAATCTTCATAAATCTTTCTGTCACATTGTTCAAACAAGTTTCAGTTAAAATGTTCACAAATTTGCGGCGCCATTGTACTTTGAGAATTATAAAGACTGTAAATCCCTTGTTCTCAAAGCAAAAAGTTTGGGTCACTGAGGATTTCTTGTGGGGTCACGGAGGATTTCCTGTGGAGGTCACGGAGGATTTCCTGTGGAGGTCGAGGAGGATTTTCTGTGAGGATTTTGTGAGGTGACACCGAGGATTTTGTGAGGTGAGACTGAGGATTTTGTGTGGGGTCACAGAATGTAACTGTTAAAATAGTGCCTAGAAAATGTTCATTTTTAAATTTTGTTCAAATAAAGTTTGAATAAGTTCATATCTGCATCTATTTTCAATAGGTTTTTTTTCCTTAAGCCTTAATGACACTTGGCGTATTAATGATGAGTAATGCAGCGCTGTTGTGAGTCCGCTTTGCTTAGCGTCATTTTGTAATGAGGTCACTATGAAATATTTTTATTTGTATCCATCGCTTGAAATCAAGTTTAAACCCAAACAGCAATGAAACGGAATTCACTGATTATTTGACGTCTATTGTGTACGTATGTTTGTCCCGCCTGCACTCTCTTTCAACTGGTGCACATCTCCTCGATATTATTATTGCTGGTGCCAGTGGATAACAGAAAACTTGTCCCTAAAAAGACGGGGCGGGCTCCACTATTTACCATAGTTTACTCTGTTGCCGCGGGCTCTGAACACCTACGTGTCGTGTGCTAGGACAATGCCAGCCAACGCGGGGGTAGGGGGGTGGAGAAGTGGGGGAGGGGATACTTGAATGCTCGTTATTACCTGTGTCAATGGGGGCCCTAATGTCAGTTGTGCCTCAACTCCCGCGCCTGTCAGAACGTGTGGCGGTCCGTTCGCTCCAAACAGCCCCCGAGACGTCATCGACAGTCTTGGTGGAAATGGTCCTCAAGTGACCGGTCAGTGGTTAGCAAGTTGTTAGAATGTTGGTGGAATGTTGTTAAATGACGAGAAGGGCCATACAAGGGAGGCAACTGAGCGCGTGAAGGAAACGCTACGAGCAGACACGAAGAAACAAGTTGGAACGAATCAAAACACGGGAATCAGCTGTCATTTAAAAGCCTGACTAAGGCTTTACAATAAGTTACAACGATTGTAGGAAGTTTTCTTTGAGTTTTGGAAGGAAACATTACTTTCTGCACGATTGGGTAAGTTCAAATTGTGCTCAATATTATATACCAATATTTTTTTTAAAATGGAAAAAAAAAGTTTTAAATTTATTTATTGTGTACAAGATTAGGAAATAATGTAAACCACACAACCTGCAATGTATACCTTCCTACCTGTCAGGGGACGTCATTTGGGTAGGGCACCCTGGGGCATATGTACCCCCTCCTGAATTTAAAGGTTTCATTTGAATTGCTATGTACTGGGGGCACTTCCAGTAAAAAATAACTTAACAAGCCCAACATTTTTTGATTTGCCCCCCCCCCCTCACACCCCCACCCCCTGAAATGACGCACCTGCTGCCTGTTGGAAGTTTTAAATATCGAATTCAAACAAATATTCTAAGACTTATTTTTTTTTAATTTTCTGACCACAATTTGTATTTACATTACTTTGAAGAAAAATGTAAATAAATTTGATCTTGTAGCAAAAAATGGTTGTATTATTGACCTTCAAGAAAACGTGAATTAAAAAACACATAGAAAAAAAAAACGTAATAAAAAATACATTCTTTTCTTTCTCAATGTGGACGGAATGTGGAACATGATAGTGTGTAAGTTCGTGTGTGGTTAGGTACAAGGTAAACACAGACACAAGATTGTAGCACATACAATGTTGTGATTGTGTGCAGTAAAGTTGACAGTTGACACAGGGATACAAATTAAAACCAAAAAACTCACTACGTTTAAGTTTGTGGTGGGGAATGTAGCCACGCTGTACTAATAATTGTTTATAGTGCTGTCAATGTGTGTATGTGTATTGTAGGTGTCTCTGTGTATGTCTCTGATTGAACAAGTAGTCGTCAGACATAACTTTTACAGACATAACTTAGTCAAAATGGCCCCGGACACGCAGCGCCACCATTCGCACCCGGGTCCCATTAGACCAATGCTATTCAAATGTCATTTGTGGTAGTTTATTTTAGTTAAACTGAAGAATTAAGTTTACAAACATATAGCCCATTCAATTATCTTTCATTTGATACCTCATTTTGCCTTACAAACCCAATAATAATATGTTTAATAGTTTTTTAATCCCAACCTCTCACCTCTGGTACCCGGGTACAAATAGTCGCAGCCTTTATTATTTTAAAAAAAAGTGATTCTCTTAAGTTTACTAAAATACCTCCTCACCCCATCTCCTCACCCTATCTCCTCACCCCCATCTCCTCACCCCATCTCCTCACCCCATCTCCTCACCCCATCTCCTCACCCCCATCCACACTTCCCTAAACCAACCCGGTTTATCCCATTTTCAAAAATCACTAAGTGAATCTTTGAGCAATTTCACCGCTTAGTTTAAGAACCTCTGAATTAACTCATCATGGAAAATATTTCTCATGATCATGGAACCTATTTCTCAAACCCGGATTGAATTTTAAATCTCGTAGGAAATATGCAATGATTTGTTGATTTGGAATGTCAGAGTACATTTCATCCTTAGATGTTTCTCCATCTCCCCAGTAGGCCATCATACACAAATGTCTCAGGTAATTTTATGAAACAATTGTACTATAATGGAGGGGGCAGTGCCTCTTAAAATGTTCAAGGTGGACCTCATTGATATCCTGATGAAACACATGACACCCTGAACAGTTTTTGGTTCTTAAAAAAAATAACTAATTGTAGCAGTTCATAGACACCTTACAGCCATTTATAGACACATTACAGCCATCCAAAGACACATTGCATCCGTTAATAGATAACTTACAACCGTTCATAGACACCTTTCATCCACTCAAAGACACCTTTACATCCGCTCAAAGACATCTTAATCCGATCATAGACACCTTACAGCCGTTCATAGACACCTTACATCCGTTCATAGACACCTTAATCCATTCATAGACACCTCACAGCCATTCATAGACACATTACAGCCGTCCAAAGATACATTGCCTCCGTTAATAGATAACTTACAACCGTTCATAGACACCTTTCATCCACTCAAAGACACCTTTACATCCACTCAAAGACACCTTACATCTGTTCATAGACACCTTATAGCAGTTCATAGACACCTTATAGCAGTTCATAGACACCTTATAGCAGTTCATAGACACCTTACATCCGTTCATAGACACCTTACATCCGTTCATAGACACCTTACATCCGTTCATAGACAGCTTATAGCAGTTCATAGAAACCTTACATCCGTTCATAGAAACATTACATCCACTCACAGACACGTTACAGCCGTTCATAGACATCTTACATGCGTTCATAGACACCTTACATCCGTTCATAGACACCTTACAGTAGTGCATAGACACCTTATAGCAGTTCATGGACACCTTATAGCAGTTCATAGAAACCTTACATCCACTCACAGATACCTTACAACCGTTCACAGACACCTTGCATCCGTTCATAGACACTTACAGCCGTTAATAGACACCTTACATCCGTTCAAAGACACGTTACAGCCGTTCATAGACACCTTACAGCCGTTCACAGACCCCTTACATCCGTTCATAGACCCCTTACATCCGTTCATAGAAACCTTACATCCGTTCACAGACACCTTACATCCGTTCATAGACACCTTACATCCGTTCAGGGAAACCTTACATCCGTTCATAGACACTTACATCCGTTCATAGACACCTTACATCCGTTGATAGACACTTATATCCGTTAATAGACACCTTACATCCGTTCATAGACACCTTACATCCGTTCATAGACACCTTACATCCGTTCATAAATACCTTACATCAGTTCATAGACACCTTACATTCGTTCAAAGACACCTTACAGCCGTTCATAAACACCTTACAGCCATTCATAGACACCTTACAGCCGTTCATAGACCCCTTGCATCCGTTCATAGAAACCTTACAGCCGTTCATAGACACCTTACAGCCGTTCATTGACAACTTACAGCCGTCATTCGCTTCAAGTTTATCAAAGGTCTCATTGTTCAACTAAAAAGACCTTCTTTGAACACACTTTCTTCGCCTCAGTTGAAATAAACTTCAGTTTAGGTCAATAATTTCAGCGTGAACTTGTGGTCGATGGATTCTGCTGACAAGCCAATCAATAATTATCGATAATGGATTAATCAAGAGTTGATCGACTCAACTGTTAATGTTGTTTAGGAAGGGTTTTATGGATACACCTCGGGTACCTTGACCTGTTTACATTGAGGCAAGCCATCTTCTTCACACAACATTTCCAAGAAGTTTGTAGCTGTATAGGTCAAGGCGCTTTATCAAAGTGTGACAACCATCAAACTCCACTGTGTAGGTCACTGCCACCATTACACAGTGGGACAACCAACAAACTCCACTGTGTAGGTCACTGCGACCATTACACAGTGGGACAACCAAGAAACTCCACTGTGTAGGTCACTGCCACCATTACACAGTGGGACAACCAACAAAATCCACTGTGTAGGTCAGTGCCACCATTACACAGTGGGACAACCAACAAACTCCACTGTGTAGGTCACTGCCACCATTACACAGTGGGACAACCAACAAACTCCACTGTGTAGGTCACTGCCACCATTACACAGTGGGACAACCAACAAACTCCCTTGTGGAGGTCACGACCGGCATTACACGGTGTGACAGCCAGCAAGGTCCATGTCGAACATATTCCAAGATTTTTAAGTTTCTTAATTTTGCCGGGAGATGACCATGACATAGACGATGCCATGGACGATGACATGGACGATGACATAGACGATGACATAGACGATGACATAGACGATGACATGGACGATGCCATGGACGATGACATAGACGATGCCATGGACGATGCCATGGACGGTGGCATGGACGATGACATGGACGATGACATAGACGATGCCATGGACGATGACATAGACGATGCCATGGACGATGCCATGGACGATGCCATGGACGATGACATAGACGATGACATAGACGATGACATAGACGATGACATGGACGATGACATGGACGATGCCATGGACGATGACATAGACGATGCCATGGACGATGCCATGGACGGTGGCATGGACGATGACATGGACGATGACATAGACGATGCCATGGACGATGACATAGACGATGCCATGGACGATGCCATGGACGATGACATAGACGATGACATAGACGATGACATAGACGATGACATGGACGATGACATGGACGATGCCATGGACGATGACATAGAAGATGCCATGGACGATGCCATGGACGATGACATGGACGATGCCATGGACGGTGGCATGGACGATGACATGGACGATGACATAGACGATGACATGGACGATGCCATGGACGATGACATGGACGATGACATAGACGATGACATGGACGATGACATGGACGATGCCATGGACGATGCCATGGACGATGACATAGACGATGCCATGGACGATGACATGGACGATGACATAGACGATGACATGGACGATGACATGGACACTTGTCAAGGCAGCTTCACTGAATCATGCTCATAAGTATTATGGAGAACCAAGACTAGAGAGAGATCTTAAGAGAACCAAGAGTGGACAGAGATCTTAAGAGAACCAAGACTAGAGAGAGATCTTAAGAGAACCAAGAGTGGACAGAGATCTTAAGAGAACCAAGACTAGAGATATATCTTAAGAGACACAATACAATTGAAGATAAGAGAAGCGAAGAAAAAGAACATATGTAGAAGGTAGAACAACAGAGAAGATAGAAAACTCAATACAAATTCACACTTAAGAAACTACTTGGACAGTAGATTTAGAGATGCACCAGCAGCTTCACCTGAAATGAATCAATGGTCAACTCTTCACCTGAAGTGAATCAATGGTCAGCTCTTCACCTGAAGTGAAACAATGGTCAGCTCTTCACCTGAAGTGAAACAATGGTCAACCGTACAGTTGAAGTTAAAATCAGAAACTAGTTTGCACATTACAACTATCATCCGTCTCCATCAAAGATAAAGAGAGCGAAAAATCTGTCATCTACAGACGACCAAAATTATAACGAAGATGTTTGGTCAGAAACATCGAGGCAATATGGCAAGGCTCACTTAACTGGACATTCGTCCAGCAGCCACATATCTGTTAAGTCTCCCTGCAGTTGAGCCCAGGTGATGACATATTCAGGAATGTTTTGTTTGGCCTCTGTGGGTTGTTGTTTTTTCTTCAATCTTCTCAATGTTTTTATCTTTGGCGAATTGTCGACCTAAGGTTGGAGGGCCGGTATCGGTCCACGGTCCACCATTTTGGAACCACCACTCTGCATTACTCTGTATCAAGGGTCCTCAAACTACGGCAAGCGGGCCAGATCCGGCCCGCCAGGGGTCCTTAATCCGGCCGCCGTAAGGGTACCCTGCTAGCAGCGACACATTCAATGGAACACCGGACATTGATCATCTCATTAGCCTTACTTCCCTTTGAAATACTATTAAGTTTATGTTTGTAATATGGCTTCTAATATGGCTTCTAATATGGCTTCTAATATGGCTTCTAATATGGCTTCTAATATGGCTTCTAATATGGCTTCTAATATGGCTTCTAATATGGCTTCTAATATGGCTTCTAATATGGCTTCTAATATGGCTTCTAATATGGCTTCTTCATTTTAAATTTGTTATCTTTTTTTCAAGGCGTTTATTTCACTACAATGAAATATGTGCAGTGTGCATAGAATTGACATATGTGCAGTGTGCATATAATTGACATATGTGCAGTGTGCATATAATTGATATATGTGCAGTGTGCATAGAATTGACATATGTGCAGTGTGTATAGAATTGAGATATGGGCAGTGTGTATAGAATTGAGATATGTGCAGTGTGCATAGAAGTGAGATATGTGCAGAGGGCATAGAACTGAGATATGTGAAGTGTGCATACAATAGGTTCATGTATTTTTCAAACCGTAGTGCCGGCCCCCCGACAGTGTCGTGGGGGGGGGGGACTGATTCGGCACCTTGTTTGAAAAGTTTGGGGACTCCTGCTCTGTTTGGAAGTGACGTCATGAAACAGAATTTTAAAGAGATTAACCCTACCGATCTGGGAAAGAATTCTTTGAAAAGGTTTGGCAGTGCGTAGCTAGCGCTGGGGACTTACTTTCAATAATTCAATACCAGTCAATAGTATGGATTATCTGGCCGGTCGTTTCAGGACAGGGGTGGTGCTGAATGCGATTTGTGTACCTAAAGCCAGGGAAAGTATTTGGAATCGATTCTCCAGTTAAGTGTCACGTCAGCGATTCTACTGGGTAAAAGAACATCTGGGAGCTTTGAAATTTAAAAAAAAAAAAATTGATTTTCTTGACCTCATGTCAAAATATCAACATATATATTTGGGTTTACAAACTCTCTACCCCCATTTATTCAACAATAGTTCTACACTCAACGACATAAGTTGTAGTTTAAACAATGGTGTTGAAATAATGTGTTGTAGTTGATCTGTTGAAATGATGTAGTTGAACTGTTGAAATGATTTGTTGTCATTTCCTTTCAATGTTTGAGGTGCGCTGATCAGCGGATGGTGTAACTTTCGTTTCAAAGTTTGAGAACCGCTGACTTGTGGAATGCGGCGAACATTGTAATTTCTTGGGACAATGTATTGCTCAAGTCTGGAGAGTACGAGCCCGGCGGAGCCATATCGAGGTAAATCTCGTGACCCACGTGCTCAAAGGATCAAACTCTCTGAACCAGACACCATCAGGTTCCCGTAGGTCCTGGGGAATGTGATCATGAAACAAGCCGATGGCTGAACTGATTTCAATGCCTCGTTAGTTTCTGACTTAACATACGATAACCACATCACACACATTACCCCTCCTTACGTCTTTAAGGCCCCCCCCATTTCTTCCCCTCTTGCACACCTCCCCCCCCCCCTTTTTAAAATCCCATTTTACCATTCCTGTCATAGTTCATGTACTCGGTACCTTTACTTTAGCACAGGGGTCGAGAACCTAACCCCCCCCCTTCCTTCCCCTCTTGCCCCCCCCCCCCCCCCCCTTTTTAAAATCCCATTTTACCATTCCTGTCATAGTTCATGTACTCGGTACCTTTACTTTAGCACAGGGGTCGAGAACCTATGGCTCGCGAGCCAGATGTGGCTCTATTGATGGCTGCATCTGGCTCGCATACAAATTTTCGATTATAAAAAAGTCGCATTAATGGTAAGAAATACTCATTATTGATTAGCAACAGCATAACAATGTTATTAAAAAGAATTGGGAAACAATAATTATTGCATTTTTAGTGTTGAAATTACACAAAATGCACACATTTACTTGAATTTTTAGTTTTAAACATAATGTATGGCGCTCACAGAATTACTTTTCAAAATATGTGGTGTCCATGGCTCTCTCAGACAAAAGGGTTCCCGACCACTGACTTTAGCACCTAGTCATAAATATAATTTGGTCTAATAAGTACTTTACTTTAGCATCTACTTATAAATATACTTGATCTAATAAGTACTATTACCCCCTCTCCCCTGTCTCCCACTGCTTATTAAGCCCCCATATTCAAAGCAGTAATTAACTAAACAAGTATGTGCATATGTAAACTTGAAAATAAGATAGAATACACAGAACCAGGAAAAGTAAAGAAAACATTTCTCTCTATATATATATGTTAAATGTTATGCTATCTACACGCCAATCTTAATGCTATCTACACGCCAATCTTAATGCTATCTACACGCCAATCTTAATGCTATCTACACGCCAATCTTAATGCTATCTACACGCCAATCTTAAAGCTATCTACACGCCAATCTTAATGCTATCTACACGCCAATCTTAATGCTATAAACACTCACTGCCACACCTGTTGTCATTTGTTGTCGCTATGATCCATACCAAGGCCATGTGACAACATGTCAAGGGTGTACATCAGGGGGAACTGCTAGACATTTCTTCTTACATCAGGGGGAACTGCTAGACATTTCTTCTTACATCAGGGGGAACTGCTAGACATTTCTTCTTACATCAGGGGGAACTGCTAGACATTTCTTCTTACATCAGGGGGAACTGCTAGACATTTACTCCGACGATTTAATGAAATGAGTTTTCAAAAAACTTGTCTTGTTTTCAATGGCGTAAAATGTTGCTTAAATTTATACTTGTGTTGGTAAAATGTGGAGACGTGCTGGTAAAATGGGGAGATGTGTTGGTAAAATGTGAAGATGTGTTTGGTAAAATGTGAAGATGTGTTGGTAAAATGTGAAGATGTGTTGGTAAAAAGTGGAGATGTGTTTGGTAAAATGTGAAGATGTGTTTGGTAAAATGTGAAGATGTGTTGGTAAAATGTGAAGATGTGTTGGTAAAAAGTGGAGATGTGTTGTTAAGGCCTCTGAGGAATAAATCGGTTAACCTCTCAATAGGAGCCAAAATGATCAATAAATTGATCGTGGGCCCTTGAGATATAGAAGAAGAAGAATTTCATAGTTGAACTTTGAACTCGCTTTTTTATAAACATGTGTCACGAGTAGTCTCTTCGTGAGACTGGTGCTCTCGGTGTGTCAAGTTTGGGGACCACTGCTATCCGCTGCACCATTGTTGCCATGTGGTGCCTGTGACTAAGCCTTAGATTGTCACGTTCAGGAATTTTTTTGTTGGTATCACACTAGGGACGTTCAACTATTAAGAGCACACCTTAGAATTAGATCAGTATGCCGCAGTGAATGTCAGATTGTGGCTCAGGGAATGTCAGATTGCGGCTCAGGGAATGTCAGATTGGGGCTCAGGGAATGTCTGATTGGGGCTCAGCTATGTCAGATTGTGGCTCAGGGAATGTCAGATTGGGGCTCATGGAATGTCAGATTGGAGATTTCATTCTCGTTCGTTCTTAGCGTTGTTTCTGCTGATGAAGAACTTTTGGACAAAATTACTTTTGATTGTGATTTGTCGTTTCTCAAATTTTAAAAAATTTTAAAAACACCAAAAAAAAAAACAAAAAAACAAAAAAAAAAAAAAAAAAAATCTGATTTCTTAAATTTTATTCAAGACTTAGTCGAGCTGTGTAACTAAGTCGGATCAATGAGCCGTACAGTATGCAAGGTCAATAGGCAACAACCTGGTATACCGTGAGTGAACGATAAGCGATAGTTGCAACACACACAGAAGTGACAAGCGATCGTTGCAACAAACACAGAAGTGAAATGAGCAGCGAAAAACCAAAGTTATCAACTTCAGGCCTGGTACAAGTTCAAAAAAAAAAAAAAAAATCAACCATAAGCCACGAATGTGTCGAGATCCAACTCTTGTTTCTGATTGGCCGGAGCGCTGATTACGTCCATGACGTCAGGCGACGCTTATCTCGTATCGTGCAAGTGTCCATTTCACAGGACGGGGGAATTCTCATGTTGAAAGATTGGGGAGATGGGGGGAGGGGGAGGATTGACACACCGGTGTACGTGCTCACGTCCTGACAACTGGCAACTGACACACAGGTGTGTTAATGGTTCCACGGCAGGGAAATTGGTACTCACTGACATTAAACTCACAGGGAAGTATCGCTCATACTGAGAAATATATCACTCATATTGAGGGAAGTATCGCTCATTCTGGGGGGGGGGGATAGTATCGCTCATACTGAGGGAAGTATCCCTGATACTGGAGGAAGTATCGCTCATAATGGGAGAATTATCGCTTATACTGAATGAAGTATTGCTCATACAGAGGGAAATATCGCTCACACAGAGAGAAGTATCGCTCATACTGAGAAAAGTATCGCTCACACTGGGGTGAAGTATCACTCATCCAGGGGAGGGGGGTAGAAATTATCCCTCATACTGGAGGGAAGTATCGCTCATACTGAGGAAAGTATCGCTCATACTGAGGGAAGTATCGCTCATGCTTGGGGAAGTATCGCTCATACTGGGAGAAGTATCACTCACAGTGGGAGAAGTATCGCTCATACTGGGACAAGTATCGCTCATACTGGGACAAGTATCGCGCATACTGGGAGAAATATCGCTCATACTGGGAGAAGTATCGCTCATACTGGGAGAAGTATCCGTCATACTGGGAGAAGTATCGCTCATACTGGGAGAAATATCGCTCATACTGGGAGAAGTATCACTCATACTGCGAGAAGTATCGCTCTTACTGGGAGAAGTATCGCTCATACTGGGAGAAGTATCGCTCTTACTGGGAGAAGTATTTCTCTTACTGGGAGAAGTATCACTCATACTGGGAGAAGTATCGCTCTTACTGAGTGTTTCTAAATGTTCTCAGAGCCACATCTTCAAAGTCTTCAAACGGCCAAACAAGGCCAGGATCTCATTGGAACTGTTGTGTTCTTTAGATGTTTTATGTCATGTAAGTGTTGTGTCATGCAAGTGTTGTGTCATGTAAGAGTTGTGTCATGTAAGTGTTGTGTCATGTAAATATTGTGTCATGTAAGTGTTGTATCATGTAAGTGTTGTATCATGTAAGTGTTGTATCATGTAAGTGTTGTGTCATGTAAGTGTTGTGTCATGTAAGTGTTGTGGCATGTAAGTGTTGTGTCATGTAAGTCTCGTGACATGTAAGTGGTATGTCCTGTAAGTCTTGTGTTATGTAAGTGTTGTGTCATGCAAATCTCGTTTCAATTAATTTTCACTGATTGTACACCCATAGAGTTATTATACATAAACATATGTTTAGAGAGCCACCATGAATATATATATATATATATATATATTTAGATCACATGAAAATAAAATAAGTATTTTCTCCTAACTTTATCATTTGTCATTGAAACTGTGAAACTCGTATATAGCAGTGTTATGTTTTTGTTCTAATTCGTTACTGAAAATCTGACCCTCGTATATAGCAGCAATGTGTTTGCGTAGGCAACTTATTCATGCATTATTGATATTCTAGAACTGGGAGCAACTTTACAGCGCATTATAGAGCAATAGTATTATATTACAAGGCAGACTTAGATCTATATAGACTACACACCTGAATCATCAATAAAACTTGTTTAAATCGCAAAGATCAATATCATTATAGTAGAAGGAAGAATTATACCTATATAGACTAAACACCTGAATCATCAATAAAACTTGTTTAAATCGCAAAGATCAATATCATTATAGTAGAAGGAAGAATTATACCTATATAGACTACACACCTGAATCATCAATAAAACTTGTTTAAATCGCAAAGATCAATATCATTATAGTAGAAGGAAGAATTATACCTATATAGACTAAACACCTGAATCATCAATAAAACTTGTTTAAATCGCAAAGATCAATATCATTATAGTAGAAGGAAGAATTATACCTATATAGACTACACACCTGAATCATCAATAAAACTTGTTTAAATCGCAAAGATCAATATCATTATAGTAGAAGGAAGAATTATACCTATATAGACTAAACACCTGAATCATCAATAAAACTTGTTTAAATCGCAAAGATCAATATCATTATAGTAGAAGGAAGAATTATACCTATATAGACTACACACCTGAATCATCAATAAAACTTGTTTAAATCGCAAAGATCAATATCATTATAGTAGAGGGAAGAATTATACCTATATAGACTAAACACCTGAATCATCAATAAAACTTGTTTAAATCGCAAAGATCAATATCATTATAGTAGAAGGAAGAATTATACCTATATAGACTAAACACCTGAATCATCAATAAAACTTGTTTAAATCGCAAAGATCAATATCATTATAGTAGAAGGAAGAATTATACCTATATAGACTACACACCTGAATCATCAATAAAACTTGTTTAAATCGCAAAGATCAATATCATTATAGTAGAGGGAAGAATTATACCTATATAGACTAAACACCTGAATCATCAATAAAACTTGATTAAATCGCAAAGATCAATATCATTATAGTAGAGGGAAGAATTATACCTATATAGACTAAACACCTGAATCATCAATAAAACTTGTTTAAATCGCAAAGATCAATATCATTATAGTAGAAGGAAGAATTATACCTATATAGACTAAACACCTGAATCATCAATAAAACTTGTTTAAATCGCAAAGATCAATATCATTATAGTAGAAGGAAGAATTATACCTATATAGACTACACACCTGAATCATCAATAAAACTTGTTTAAATCGCAAAGATCAATATCATTATAGTAGAAGGAAGAATTATACCTATATAGACTAAACACCTGAATCATCAATAAAACTTGTTTAAATCGCAAAGATCAATATCATTATAGTAGAAGGAAGAATTATACCTATATAGACTAAACACCTGAATCATCAATAAAACTTGTTTAAATCGCAAAGATCAATATCATTATAGTAGAAGGAAGAATTATACCTATATAGACTAAACACCTGAATCATCAATAAAACTTGTTTATCGAATAAGGGTTGATTGAATGCTGTGTTTGTTTTTTGGTGTTTTTTTTATATTAAATATCGATAATTCCACCCCACTTATCGATATATCCATAAAATCAATAACAAACTTGTCTACAGTTGTATTGACCTCCAGCGTGACGATCACGGCTAACAAGTAGGGAATAAATCGCTGAATGATTAGACCTCTATTGTAATCCCATTGTTCAGCCTGTATAGCGGGTAGAATGTGTGTGCCCCAAATAATGAGGGCACTGATGTGTGTCCTCTGCATTCACGATGTTGACATCAATGACCCCCCCAAGCCCCGCCCCACACCCCCGTGCCCACCTAGCATCAAAGCACCCACTCGCCAAAACAAACGCTGACCATTGGACAGACGTGGAAAAGATCATTTCCCAGAGCAGGTCGAGACTTGACGAGAAGGGCGGTAACTCAATTAATGATCGTCCGCAAATTGGCGCCAAACGTGTTTGAAAATACGTTTGATTACGTCATTGATATAACCCCTACGCTAGATCCTACCTATCATGATAGACATTCTATAAGCTGACGGAAGCGGGAAAAAAGTGGATTGAAATGCCGTAATATAATCTCATATATGGAACAAATAATTATCCCCTACTTAATTACCACTACTTTTTAAAAAAAATCTTGTTACACTATATTCAATAATCTTGTTACCTTTATAAACAAATAATCTTCCTGCCATTATATCCTATTCATTAGACAACGTATTTATTAGAAATAGATTATTTTCATGACACACATCTTTCGTGACACACCTTTCTTATCATTATTTTTTATCTTACAGAATTTCACAGACTTGAGGACCTCAACCTATTCATTAATCAACGCAACTTAAAACATTGACCATTCGCGGTTCTTAAACTATTCACTAACGACGGAACTTAAAGTTAATTAAAGCACACATGAGCACTAATTGAAAGCACCACCTTTTGGCCAAATTGAGACATTTTAAAAGAGCTCCAATCGTCTGACAACGCATCCACCCTGAGGGTGCCAGTTATATACGTGCACGAGGCGCCCGCGGTGGTGCCCGTGCAGAGAATGTCTCCGGCCGCCACCCTGGCCAGGCGATTCCACCAGAACTGGCTGGCCAAGCACCCGCAGGACTCTGCGGGCGCCAATGTCAGCCTGGACGACAGCCTGACCAGTTTGGGCTGGCTGCAGAACCTCAAGGTGTCCGAGATCACACAGCCCAGGCAGACTGCTGTGTCGGGGTACGGGCTGGAGATCAACCGACAGCTCATCAAACAAGGTAGAGTGGACTGTTATTGTCAGTGGTGGGCTGTTATTGTCAGTGGTGGGCTTTTGTTGTCAATGGTGGGCTGTTGTTGTCAATGGTGGACTGTTGTTGTCAATGGTGGGCTGTTGTTGCCGATGTCATTAGAAAACTGCTCACTGACAGATATGTGACAGATGTAATGTCACACTGACAGATGTTTGACAAATGCAATGCCCCATTGATAGTAATGTTAGTAAAACATTTTCTCAGCAAAAACAATTTTTTAAATCCTATTTTTCCCCCTCCATTTCTGAAGAGCTCCCATCCCCACCAGTGCTCACCGTCCAGCAGCAGAGATGTGAGCCTCATTTCCAAATAGGCGACACGGCGCCTTCTGGTGGCCAAACGGATGTAGATTACAAGCTGAACCCGTTCATGAAGCCCCCGTATTCATACGCCAGTCTGATCTGTATGGCGATGAAAGCGACGAGAAAAAACAAGATCACCCTCTCTGCCATCTACAAATGGATCACTGACAACTTTATCTATTACCGCCATTCGGATCCCAGTTGGCAGGTGGGTACTTTCTGCTTAGATTCTTACGACACTTCCTACGTTGGGATCTGGGCTAGATTCTTATGAGACTTCCTACTTTGGGGTCTGGGCTAGATTGTTATGGGAATACTTACTTTGGGGTCTGGGCTAGATTGTTATGGGACTACTTACTTTGGGATCTGAGCTAGATTTTAACGGGACGACCTACTTTGGGATCTGGGCTAGATTGTTATGGGAATACTTACTTTGGGATCTGGGCTAGATTGTTATGGGAATACTTACTTTGGGGTCTGGGCTAGATTGTTATGGGACTACTTACTTTGGGGTCTGGGCTAGATTGTTATGGGAATACTTACTTTGGGGTCTGGGCTAGATTGTTATGGGAATACTTACTTTGGGGTCTGGGCTAGATTGTTATGGGAATACTTACTTTGGGGTCTGGGCTAGATTGTTATGGGACTACTTACTTTGGGATCTGGGCTAGATTGTTATGGGAATACTTACTTTGGCATCTGGGCTAGATTGTTATGGGAATACTTACTTTGGCATCTGAGCTAGATTTTAAAGGGACGACCTACTTTGGGATCTGGGCTAGATTCTTACGAGACACTGATATAAAAAGGGAGGGGGAGGGGGTCACAGGAGACTAAGACAATCTTAACTAAGTCAGTCTTTACGCTGATAGCAATACAGGTTTTATTGTTGACTGTTGTAAAGTCTGAAAATAAAAATCCTCTGACTCCGAATGAAAGAAATGACAATAAACCCCACGGTAAAGGCCGTTTATTGTAACCACACATTCCTGCTTTTGTTTCTCACTAAATCAATCACAAGTAATAATGATCTTGTTATGTATGTACGTATGGCTGGCTGTAACGCTGTGTTCAATAAGCGCGCAAAATAGAATTCCCAGAAGTTTTCACCAATTGGTACGTTTATATAAAATGCTTTAACTGTATGCAGTGGCGTAACATTGGTTAGTGCCACCCGGGGTGCACCATGATTTTTGCCCCCCCCCCCCACTTCCACGGAAACTCTCTGCAGTTGGTAGAAAATACAGCCCCCCCATATAAAGAAAGGTGCAAGTGAGATGGAGCCCCCTCCCTCTTGACCATCACCAATTGGTACGTTTATATAAAATGCTTTAACTGTATGCAGTGGCGTAACATTGGTTAGTGCCCCCCGGGGTGCACCATGCTTTTTGCCCCCCCCCCCCCACTTCCACGGAAACTCTCTGCAGTTGGTAGAAAATACAGCCCCTCCATATAAAGAAAGGTGCAAGTGAGATGGAGCCCACTCCCTCTTGACCTTCTACCTACGCCACTGCTTGAATCCATGCTTTGTAAAGCAAATTAAATAGATGGAGCATTCACTCATTCTCGTCGCCATTATTGGCCGGGCTATTTATAGTAACAAAATAATCTGAACTCATGATGTATTCCCTCAACGTTAAACTTATTTCCTCTCTCTCCACCAGAACTCCATTCGTCACAACCTCTCGCTCAACAAATGTTTCGAGAAAGTTCCTCGGCGGAAAGACGAGCCTGGCAAAGGTGGCTTCTGGAGAATAAACCCGGAATACGGCGACTTGGTGGAAAATGGCGTCTTCAAGAAACGGCGGGGCAGCCGGGAGAACATGGTCTCGCCTCCCATCAAACGCTGCAAGCAGGAGGACGACGACTTCCCGTACGTGGCGGGCATGAAGAGCGGCGCGAGAGAGGACAAGCTGCTGAGCAACGGCTCCGCACATTTCGGGATGGACGACGACGAGAACTCGTTAACTTTACGCGGCGACTTCAACTGGACGTCGATTCTCAACCAGCATATCGATATCGACGGCTGCACGGTGAAGACAGAACAAATCCTGGACGACGCCGAGCAGTCCCCGTTCATCGAGATGAGCCCGCCGAGCTCGGAGACGAACTCAGACGATTTAGGAATTGATGACTTGTTTTCTTCGAGCGGAAATTTCTCCATATCGATACCAGCGGACTTCCCGAGCAACGATCCTCTTGATTTGACGGTACAGGGCACAACGATCAAACCACCCGACTGGTGGTCTCCTGAGGGCAGTATGGGGCATTCTGGGAGCGGCAGAGGTCTGCAGACCCCACGGGCTCCATCTCCCGAGTTTGACAATTCTGAACCTCTTTGGGGGGACAGCCTGGGGCTTAACTCCAGCGGGAACCAGTTTGATTTTGAAAAAATTTTTGAATTCGACAGTTTGCCACCGAACCACCAATTGTGAGCATGTTGACATTAAGTGACTAAACAAATCATTCCATTTTAGAAATTTGGTAATCAACAAAACAATGTATCTATGACTACACATGTGAATCTTGATTGTCGACACAAATAGGTAGAACGTATTTATTTATATAAGTACATTAAAAAATATATAATATAATTGCAGTCCTATGGATTCTGTAAGTGTAAGACATTAATGGCTGCCTATTTGTTATTTTTACTTTTTAAAATTAAATTTTGAGGCTAATTATGCGGTCCTTGTTCATGTCCATTATGACATATTCCACCAGATAATAATTAAACAAGTTGACATTTAATTTCTTTCAACTTTCTGGTTGGCTGTCAGAATTTTATGAAACTTGATGTTCACATTAAGTTTATGAGAGTGACATACACAACTATTGATAGTTCCGCCCTACCCTTAATTTGGTTTAAAGTGGGTCAGACTAACCTGTTAGATCAACAGTGGGACAGATCAATTTTTTGATAATATGATTGTCATCAGATCAAAGTCCACTTTCTAGGAATACAATGTTCTCGCCGCGATTGTCACTTTGCGCGCCATTCTTACTTGATTGCGTCACATCAACTATTCGGGAAATCCGACTCGGCTCAATGTATTATACGGCACCACATCGAATAGTTGTTACGTCACAACAGTTACTTCACAGACATTTGTTTGTGTTGAGAACGGGTGAGGTTTGGGGGGGGGGGGTATTCTGGTGGCAAACATTTTTGGAAAAAAGCATTTCTTTTCCTTTTGTCGGACTCGTATCATTATCTGTCTTGACCTTCCTAAGATGATTTTTCCCTCTTTGACCTTTGTACATAACTTTTAATTTGTTGTTTTTATAGTTGTTACGTCACAACAGTTACTTCACAGACATTTGTTTGTGTTGAGAACGGGTGAGGTTTGGGGGGGGGGGGGTATTCTGGTGGCAAACATTTTTGGAAAAAAGCATTTCTTTTCCTTTTGTCGGACTCGTATCATTATCTGTCTTGACCTTGCTAAGATGATTTTTCCCTATTTGACCATTGTACATAACATTTAATTTGTTGATTTTACGGCAAGACATTTTCCCAATGAAACTGTAATTGGCTAAAAACAGCATTCCATTTTTAAAAAATTAACTCTATCTTTGTAAAAAAAGAAAAACAAAAACAAACAAAAAAATAAATCTGGTATGTTAATAAAACTAGAGAGATGTTTGCCCGCTGTGACTTCGATGTAAAAAGACTTGCTCCGTCCAGACACTTGTAAATAGAGAAAACTATTATAAAAGTTATTTTTAATACAAATAAGGGTCATTGAAAGAAAATAATAATCAAAGATTTATTTCTTTTCAACTCAATTGACTTGATTAGGAGAAGGTACATTAGGAGTTGCCTACCGTTGTTATAATACAACTTGGCCATTAGAACAGAAACTATATTTTATTTTAAAACTCCTTTATAAATAACTAAACTTAATAGCAAGTATTATTTGTTGAATATAAACATTACTGTATAAATTGATGGTATATAAATACTGCTGTATAAATTGACGGAATGAATACAATTATTTATTATGCGTAATAAGTTGGATTGACTTTGTGTGATAGTTGTATTGTTTTTTTTTAAATCATAGATGTATAGCTTTTGTATGATAGTCTTTTTGCTTTGAATGATAGTCTTTTTGTATTTTGTAAGAAATATTTTACAAATGTGACTAATTGTTTTCTGCAGTCAGGAGTAGTCTGCCTTGAAATGTTTCAAGAATTCAACAAGTCTAAAATATATTTTGAGCAAGCTGTTTAGCTTACATTTATTTGTAGAAGGTAGTTATTACTAATTAATTTTAACGTTTTTTTTAAAAAATAAAATTGTATGCACAAAGAAAAAGCCAGCTGGGCTATCTCCTGATCAAAGCAAACTTCTGTGATAATTGACAAAAAAATGTGACAAGTCTAGTCAACAAAGTAAAAATAGCCTCAATGCTATGGTCCATCGCATCTGTGATTCTGTAACATAAAACTATAGCCCAACCTTGTGGTGTTTGAATATAATCTTTTTGTTAATTCATAGAAATAGAAGAGTGGCGTTTGATATAGTGATTACTTATTTGCTGTTGCTTTTATATATTAAAATAATCTTGATATTTTAAAAGTATGAATGTAGAAATCATATTCTCGCGAGGGTTGTTTGTTTGTAGTGATTTAGAATATCTATTTTAATTACATTCTCTTCAAGTCAAGGATTCTTTTGCCTGGAGTTCGCCCTGTCATATGAAATGGGGGGTGCTTATGGAACCCAACACGGCAGCCAACCTCCCCACTCCTAATGCCACACAGTTCGGATGCATTTTAATTGTATTTATTTATTGTATTATCATGTATTTATTTATTTATATAAACTAGTTGAAGAACTTTGGAAGCAAGCACTATGAAGTTTCCCAATGCAATTTTTCCATACGGTCTATGGCTAAAAGCAGTTGTCAGAATCCCAGCTCAATGGCGTAAACCACTATATAATATTGACATTTTAAAGCTGGTCAAAGCTGCGTATTAAAATTTTTGTTATATATACCGATATATATATATATATATATATATATATATATATATATTCTGCAGCTAACTGATTTTTGTGATTGAAAAATTTGGTTTGGGGGGTGGGGGATTTTTGGCAGTGGCGGATGTTTGTGTGTCAGTGTCAGCCATTTGATGACATTTGATGACATCGTCCTAGTAGATTCCTCAAGCAAAGATGGCTTTCGGTACGACCACTTAGGAAAATTACTATTTTATGGAGAGAAAAGAGCCAATCGATTGTTTCATGTCATATCCGGTTTATATGATTTGTGTTTGTCATGGTTTGGCCAAGTAAATATGGATTGGATGACGACACCGTGAATTGAGAGGAAAGAAATGAAAAGAGTACTTTAAAAAAATATTTTGTTTAAAATTAATGGGTCTGTTTTAATTAACCCCACTCAATTTACCGGAAACAAGTTAAGAAACCGCAAATATGATTTTGGAACCAACCCAAATTGAAAAAGTAGGCGAGTCCACGGTCAAGTTACAAACGTGTGGACGTACCCCATCATTGGAAGACTGAAAAAAATAAATAATAAAATGATAATACAAATACAGCGACCCTCAAATGATAATACAAATACAGCGCTCCTCAAATGATAATACAAATACAGCGGTCCTCAAATGATAATACAAATACAGCGGTCTTCAAATGATACTACGATATGGCAGAATGATTTGGGATTGACCATTTTTCTAATAACAAGACACATATTTACCATTGCGTCATTGAAAACCTATCTTTAACAAAAAAATCTGTTATATCTTCCCTTTGCTGTCAGTTTGAGAATCCGCTGTATAAAATATAATTACCGCCCCACCTTTGTGTGCCCATTTACCCTATTTATTACTGTTTATAAAGTTGTTTGACTTGTATTAATAATACTTTAAAACAACAACGCATAAAAGGCAATTTGTTAATAACTCTATTTATTGATGTCAACTAGAAAATCTTTTAATATAAAGTGTTTTTTAAAGCGATCATCTTTCAGCATTGTCATTGATGTGTGCACGTCTGTTGCCTTTCGTGTACATTCATATACTGCATTGAATTGTATATTGCATTATTCTCAAACTACAACAACTCAATTAGCAAATTTCTCGTTTCGCCTTATAACGTAAAGTATTATCACGATGTTTTCGCATAATTATAATAAAGCCTTACTGAAAGTTGAAGAGATTTAAATAATAGAAATCTATTCAGTACTTGTGAAAGTTTTAATGTTTTTTTTCCAATAGATATGAACTGGGTTTTTATTTATTTGCTCATGTTTTAAATGTTCAGATAGAAAGAAAACCATCATTTCGTTGTTTCTATCATTGTAATATGCATATATGTTGTATTTCTAACGGTTGATCTATGTATTGGTTTCACAACTTAACGACCAAACATTTACAGCTGATGTGCAGCAACTTGAATTTTGAGAGACCGGAAGCTCTCAACTAGCACCATCTACAGTGCACTTTAAAATTACGTACATATCCTACCTAAAATTAAACACCTTTCAGAATTAAACATTTTAGTTGAGTCATAAATTATGCAGGCATTATATGTAATGTAAGGAATTTTGAGTTATGATGTAAAGAAAGCAACCAGTGGTTCTCAAACCATTGACCTGCTTTATTTGATTGAAAGTGCAACTGTTTAGCTCACAAATGACACACACGTGTTGTAAAATAATTCAAAGGTCTATACTTATTTTGTATCATATTGTTTAATGAGAGTTTAAAAAAAACAGTATTATGGATATTTAAAACACACAATATTTGGTCATACGTTTATTTTTTAGTATGATTTTTTAAAATATATTTATCTCATTGCTACTGATTACAATCCGTCCACAGTTTTATTCACAAAAATTTCGTATGGAGCTGTGCAGGATCAACGTTATGAGATCGTGTTAACAATTAGTTTAATTAAAATGAAAGTAAAATAAAGTTTGTTTCTTTATCACATTGCTTTTTATTGCTTTCCGTATTTTTGAAAGAAACTGATCACGTGTTTGTACACTAAATTTATTTGGCTTATCGTACTTCAAGATATCATCCGAAGTTGAGTCACTAGGGTTTGTGTCCTCCAGTGCGGTAGACTCATGGTATCATCATCCCCTCAAGAATCCAGTTGGACCAGATCCGAGTATACCTGCTCTAGTGACATCCTACTCTGGTTGCAACCTGATGTGATGCAATCTGTTCAGGGGACAGGTCTGGTGGCACCCTGCATCAAGTGTCACCCTGCTCTAGTGGCACCCTGCTCTAGTGGCACCCTGCTCTAGTGGCACCCTGCTCTAGTGGCATCCTGCTCTAGTGGCACCCTGCTCTAGTGGCATCCTGCTCTAGTGGCACCCTGCTCTAGTGGCACCCTGCGCTGGGGTAAACCTGATCAACCACCTCTAGTGGCAACCTGCTCTAGTGGCACCCTGCTCTGGGGTAAACCTAATCAACCTCCTCTAGTGGCACCCTGCTCTGAGGTAAACCTGATCGACCTCCTCTAGTGGCACCCAGCTCTGAGGTAAACCTGATCAACCTCCTCTAGTGGCACCCTGCTCTGAGGTAACCATGATCAACCAGGAGATCACCGTGGGACGAGACTGGTAAACCTGATCGACCTCCTCTAGTGGCACCCAGCTCTGAGGTAAACCTGATCAACCTCCTCTAGTGGCACCCTGCTCTGAGGTAAACATGATCAACCTCCTCTAGTGGCACCCTGCTCTGAGGTAAACCTGATCAACCTCCTCTAGTGGCACCCTGCTCTGAGTTAAACCTGATCAACCTCCTATAGTGGCACCCTGCTCTGAGGTAAACCTGATCAACCTCCTCTAGTGGCATCCTGCTCTGGGGTAAACCTGATCAACCTCCTCTAGTGGCACCCTGCTCTGAGGTAAACCTGATCAACCTCCTCTAGTGGCACCCTGCTCTGAGATAAACCTGATCAACCTCCTCTAGTTGCATCCTGCCCTGAATTAAACCTGATCAACCTCCTCTAGTGGCACCCTGCTCTGAGGTAAACCTGATCAACGTCCTTTAGTGGCATACTGCCATGTCTGGTAAAACCCTTTTTATATGACACACTCCTCTGGTGGAGTGCTCTTGTATTTAACTTCTATATATATATCTGTACATCATGAGACCCACTCGAGCAAAGAACTATTTGTCAAATTCGAATTTTTCCATTTGGGGTCACCACCTCCCTTCTTAGTGTGTCACCTGATGGGGTCGGCACCCCCAGCACCAATCACCTGGTGGGGCCCACACCCCCAACATTCCTTAGTGAGGCTAGTGATATAATAATGCTGTACCGATCACCTGGTGGGGCCCACACCCCCAGCAGTCCTTAGTGACGCTAGTGATTATAATATGTTGTGCAGAGCAGCAACGTTTCTTAATACAAATTTAATGACTAAAAATCCAGACGATTAAAGGCTTCTCTAAATTCACCTTTCCACCCTCGACTGTCAGTAAGACAGACATACCAGAGACAAGCATATAGACATACTAGCGACAATCAGAGAGTCGGACATTACGCGAGGCAGGCAATCAGAGAGAGAGGGAGAGAGGCTGATATAATGAGAGACAGACAAAGAAAGAGAAGATAATTTGTAATGAACAATTTGAGTGACCACTCGTAGTATATCAAACAGGTGAAGACAACTTAAAAAGTAATTAAGTTCTTCAAAACAATAACGCGAAAAGTTCTGTACATAATTAATTAATTGGCAAAGTTCTGTAAATCATTCGTTTGGAAAGTTCTTTGGATCATTAACTTAGAAAGTTCTGTAGATCATTAACTTGGAAAGTTCTGTAGATCCAAAATTTCATGGTTAGATAAGCATAAAGGTCTAGGGTGCTCAATCACAAGCATTTATGAAGCTTTGGTCAAGAGCTGTCGCATGGGCTCAGCAACCCCTGCAACTACTGTTGGCCTTGGATATTTAAGGGGCACAAAGTTGTGATGTGGGAACAAAAAAAGATCAAATTTAAATGTCATAAAATTCAAATGTGGCTCGGGGGTCCTCCAAAAGTCATACATCGACTCTTCTTCTTACTCGTTATGATAGCTGCAGCTGAAAGACGATACCAGAAGTAGCTGATCAGCCATATTTTATTTCCTTTTCTTCATTGGGAATTTGAGAGGGTGAAACCCATGTCAAATTCTCAGTTTGATCAGCAGTTGTCTCGCCAAGTTTGTGTACATAATTCGTAAGCGTGGATTTCTCAAATCAGGCAGTCTATTTATAGCTCTGCCCAATAAAAGCCCGCTATAGATCCTAAATGTGACACAGGCCTTAATTTATTCTCAAGCGTACAGAAGTACCTCCAGACGTCTAGTAACCAATGAAACATTTACACTGACAACCACCACAACACTTTTAACACAAGAGAGTTCCTGGCCAGGCTTGACAACTCTATGTGTTCTGGATTAAGGCCCTTTAATATTGATCGCGTGCCGGCATATCTTCACTGGGGCTGGCATTGTTTGCAACAAAAGCTTCTATCAACAGTAAACCAGTGTTTGTGTATGTTTACTTAGCGACTCTATGAAATCCAATATGTAAATATTATAAAATGCAAGCGTCATTTTATAATATTAGTCTTTAAATGTTATTAATAATTCGGCAGGAGCATTTGAATTTTTGCTCCCCTTTGTTGCGCGGTGGTCGGCTACCGTCCACTCCGGAGCCGCATGCGTCTCGTTTAAGGAATGACGCAGTTTTGGAGGGGAAAAAAAAGCAACTAATACTTTTCTATAATGACACGCGGCTGCACGAATATTTTCTTAACAGACAGAATTTATAGAAATGGTTTCTTAGTCAAAAAGGTTTCCGACCCTTGTCTTTGGGGGAGGGCTCGTGTAAAAATCCGTTTGTTCTAACACCATTTTTCAACGTAGTATGTTATAACGTGAAGTACACAAAGGCCACATTTTCAATTGAAATATTTCCTCTGCAATGTGGTGTGTACAGAGCAGTCACGTGTTTTTTGGAGGCCCACTTTTCGATTTTGTGCCCCCTGCATTTAAAAATGTGATAATTTGTTCCCCACATTACAATTTTGGGTCCCTTAAATGTTTGAGAAGCCCTGGAGACGCAGGTGTAGCAGGGCCAAAAGCGATGATTCAGTGCAGCCTTTAAAACTGTTGAAAACTAAGATCGTGATTAAAATGACCAGATTTATAAAAACATTTAGCAAAACAACTTGCACAGCTCCATGCAACATTAAAATATTAGGCAACACAAGATCCCAATGTAAGAGCATTATAATATTTTTAAAATCCCAATGTAAGAGCATTATAATATTTTTAAAATCCCAATGTTAGAGCATTATAATATTTTTAAAATCCCAATGTTAGAGCATTATAATATTTTTAAAATCCCAATGTTAGAGCATTATAATATTTTTAAAATCCCAATGTTAGAGCATTATAATATCTGCCTCTCCTTCCCTGAATATGGGACTGGAGCATTCAAACTATTTATATTTGTTTATAATAATTTAAATTTAATCTGGTCTCCTTCTGTTTATTATGTAACTTTCTGTACCCTTGACATACTACAGGCTACGGTACCTCCATTGATGTGCCATAAGCTACCTCCATTGACATGCTACTGGCTACCTCCATTATCATGGTTTGTTTTATCTGTATCTAAATATGAATTTTCCACCTTTTTGAATTTAAACAAACCTGTCAATGTCATTAGACATGACATATCAAGGTTTATGATTGGCTGAAGATACCAAACGCAATTTAAAAGACTAATTTTTAGTGGTTCACCCCAAATAAAACATGTTAAAACAAAAATGTACATTAGAGCTTCCATTCTCCAATGAAATGCCAATTTCAAGTTAGAACTTTGTTATTTTGTACTTCCTGCAAAAGTGGCTCATTACAAAGTTTCCATTGTCTGTGCCATGCTCGAAGGGTTGATTAACTATTGCCCAGGGGCCTTAACTCATTAAAAAAAATAATATTTTCTTTAGAAAATTGTTCTTCTAATTCTAGGGAGATGAAATGTGTGACAAGATTGAAGAAGATAAGAACAAGTGTCATTTTTGTTAAGTGTTTTAATTTATTCATTAAGACGTTAAGTCCCTAAAAATGTAAACAATGATAATGCATTAAAAGCCAAATTACAGATGAATAAATTCACAAACGTGTGTGCAACAATGGTTGATGTACATTCGACACAATCAAAACTTCAAATGATACTGAAAAGCACCCATGCTTCCAAATGTTCATACCACAAACTGCACAATCTGACTTAAGTGGACGCAAGTTATTTCAATAACTGTTGAATACATTTGGAAAGAAAACCTTGACAGAAACATAAACAAACTTTATATTATAAATTCATTATCAGCTCAGTCATTTACATTTGTATAAAAATGTTCACTACTCTCGTAATATTGCTCTTGCCAAGAAATCTAAATAAGTCAACTGAGTCTAAATGTATTAAATGATAAAATTATGAATGTAAAAGTTGAAATGAATAAAAGGAAAATATCAAGTCACAGAAGATCTTCAGGAACAATCTTTGTTTTGGACATCTTTTTATGACAACCTTGACCTTAAAAGATTATGGATTACAACTGTTTCTTACATTTATTTAATGAGACCTTTGCCATCAATGTTACCTGTGACTCCAAGAAAGCTTTGCCATTTTACCTGTGACTTGAAGAACTTATTGTGCAGCTAACAAAGTTTACAATAAAAAATGTTTTAGTGTTCACATAGAGATAAACTAGATATAGTTTAAGCCTCTTGCTTACAGGATAATACAATGAAGAAATTCTCACAAATCCCTCCTCTTGAATTAAGGACAATGGAAAAACTTGATTAAGTCCATTCTATTTGAAAACAGTCATTTTTTTCATCTACCAAAATTTGAAGGTAAAAAAAAAAGGTCAAGGTCAATAACTTCTTGTGGACAAATAGATCATAAACTCCAGTTATCCAGTTACAAGTGTTTGAATGTTTCCATAGGATGAGCACAGTAATGGACAAGAAGAATGACATAGTCCGCCATCAAATCAATCCTTCCATCTCTTTCATGAACTGATCATAGGCGTCATCTTTGGTCTTGGTCTGGGCTGCTGGGGCGGGCTGAGCTTTGGCCTGGGCTCCTATCACCCTCTGTTCCTCTTCTTTACCTGAACAGTTGGAGTGGTCAAAGATGACATGATTATTGATTACTAACTATCAGGTAAAATTGTAATACAACATATACTGCTGGACTGGAATAATATATTCTATAGACATTAACATGGCAGATGTAGACATTTCATGAAGCTAGAAGTTCTAATTATAAATTTAATTTCTAGTAAGGTTATCTGACAACAAGTCAAACACATAATTCATTTAACTTTCATTTCTGGTGAGACTATCTGTCAAACACATAATTCATACATTTCTATAAAAAAATCCATTCATCACTGTGAAAACCAAACCATCAGGTCATTATGATCTACAGTTACTAAGATTTACATCATTTACCAAGCAGGAAAAACATCTGATTCCAAGCCAACACAAATTGTTTATGTTTCCAAGACAACACCTATTGTTTACATGTCTAATTATTTACAAAGTGTTTTGATCAGTGTTTTTTTGGACATAATTTAATTAGTGGGTAAACCAGTAAACAATTGAACCTAATGATTGCTAAGTGTATGAAAAGTGAATGAAAAGATGGATAATTCAAGTAATATCTTCAAGAATTAACAATGTTACAGTTGCACATAAATGAAAAGATCTTGGTATTTTTACTTTGATGCCAACGATATCAGTAAGTAGTGGGAAAAATAAGGGGAGGTAATCTCTCAATGTAGTAGCAACTGTAAAACATGATAGATTAATAGATTCGTACAGACAGATGTAAAACATGATAGATTAATAGATTCGTACAGACAGATGTAAAACATGATAGATTAATAGATTCGTACAGACAGACGTAAAACATGATAGATTAATAGATTCGAACAGACAGACGTAAAACATGATAGATTAATAGATTCGAACAGACGGACGTAAAACATGATAGATTGATAGATTCCTACAGACAGACGTAAAGCATGATAAATAAACAGATGCTTACCGACAGATTTAATTCGTCCCTTTTGGTCACGAATTTCTCTCTTGACCTTGAGAGCTGTTGGCATAAATCTTGTAATATCTCCCATCTTGCTCTTGATCTGAGGTTTGGCTTGGATTGTCACCCTTGAGCCAGGCCCTGATCCTAGCTCATCACCTCGGGGCCGCATGATACTTGGGGGCGCACTGAGAATGCTGGGATTAATAGGTCCGCCCTGAGTAAGACCACCAATGGGAGGGGGGATGGATGGTGGAAGCATACTGGGAGGCCTCATCATGCGTGGAGGTGGCACACCTAAAACAATGCATTCAGTTTCAGTTTGACATTTTGAGAAAATTGATTTCAAGATAAATTGAGTGAGCAAAAGTGAAACTTCAAAGATTGGGTTAATCCAACAGAAGAGAGAAACTCAGCAAGAACAGTCAACATTTACAATTATGTTCAGATCACTTCCTTTCTACTCCTCTTTACTTTGTTTTTGTCTGGTTTTAGCGCCCTCTCCTATTTTTTTCTTTTTTAGGTAGGATATGTATATTGATATTATGTAAATTTAATTTATACTTATTTAAATGTTTTTTTGTTTGTACTGATGAAGGCATGTGCCGAAACGTTTACTTGTGTATAATGTATAATTATTATTAAAGCGGAACTTATATTGTTATATTGACACAATTTGTTCGTGTCTTATTAATCAACATATAAAACAATGTAATGAAGAGAGTGGCCCCCATCAAGATAACAAGAATAAATTTACATCTACTTAAAGAACTTCAAAAACTAAATGTCATATTACTTTGGAGATTTTTACATAAAACATTTTTTTAAAGCCATTTTGCTAGGGTTGGCCTTCCAGTTACAATAAAATTATTTTAGCCATAAATATCACTTCATTCAGTGCTAAACATTTTGGTATGAGAGACAAAGCAATTCTAACACCGCAAGCTGCTGGAGTGACCTGGTAACCTACCAATTGGTGCAGGAATGCGCATTGGAAGCGGCCTCAAGTTTGGCGGCAGACCTGGTGGTGGACCCGGAGGTATGCCGTGTGGCCGACCTGGTGGTGGTCCAGGAGGCATTAGTCTTGGTGGACCACCTCGAAGTGGAGGAGGCCTCATAAACATTGGTGGGACACCAGGTGGAGGACCTGTCATAATATAAAGTGAATATTTTATGCTCTGAATATTTTATTGTCCATAGAATAAGCATTATTTTCATTAAAAATTGTTCCATGTACAGTGAGGCTAATGGCCCCTTAATCAACAGGTTATGTTCCATGTACAGTGAGGCTAATGGCCCCTTAATTCAACAGGTTAGTTAGTAAAAAGGTAAGTAAATGAAACACAGTAGTACCTGGAGGCATGCTTGTCATTCCCATCAGATTTGGAGGTAAACCAGGTGGTGGACCAGGGGGGTTCATTCTAGGAGTTAGATGCCTGGTTTCTGCTTCTAGCTCAGCCTCTTCAATGAGCCGTGCTGCTGTTATAGCTGCAGCGTCCTCGTCTGTCAACCTGTCCACAGGATCTTCAAGCCCTGGAGGCCTGTCATCCAGCTGAGATATTTCTTCACGTTTCTTGGCAATTTCTCTATCTTTGGATCTGATTCTCTCATCCTCCTCCTGTTCGAGAGAAACGTTTATTATGGAGAATGTAAAATAATATATTTCTAAACTCAAGGCAGGTGCAGTTATTTCATTACAACTTTAAAAACACCAATAAACCAAAGTTTGGGTTTTCCGTTAGATGAATTCTTCTATTTCCGTTTTATACATATTAAAATACATGCACACATGTTTTGAGAAGGAAGAACCAACTTATCTAAAATTGTTTGTATTGATAAATCAAGTAGTTGTTAATGGTAATAATGGAATGTAGATATATGCAAACAAATTTACTGTAAGATGAGTAATAAATTAATGTTGATTGTTTCATAAGTCTCCAACAGGATTTTATGCACACCTTTTATTAGGTGCTAATATAAGTGTTACAATTCTAGCATTTGTCTCTTTAATAAAAATAATTCATTAATAATTTGAACACATCTAGAAATCTTAATTAGAGGCAAATAAAATGTATTTTTAAGGAATCCTTTGGTACATCTTTTAGTCTTTTCTTGTGCATGCTTGACCTGAGGTCTAATGTCAGAGCAATCAAATTCCAAAGATGTCTGCATCACTTCATCTAACCTTGACCTACAGTACCAAGTAATGACCATTCGTCAGTTTAAACTGGACAACTAACCTTTCTATCTAAAAGCCTGTCCCTCTGTATGTCATCATCTTCATACTCAGAGGAGGAAGATGATGATGATGATAACGATGATGAATGTGAGTCATCTTCCTTCTCAAAGTCTGGAGTGTCCTGACCAGCCATCTTCAACATCATTGCCTGAAGGGCCGAGACCTTCTTCTTGCCACTTGCACTCTTCTCAGCCTCTCGTTTCTTCCTCTTGATCTCTTTCTTCTCTTTCCTCAACCTCTGTCTGGCTTCTTTTTCAGTGTCGTACCGTCTTTCACTTTCATCATCATCATCAGCAAATCGTATACGTCTAGATTTATCTAGTTATAAAAAATATATAATTTTATAATTTTTAAGTGGCAGAAACTAATATTTTTGAAGACCATTGTTGTTCAAATCTACTGATATTAAATAATAAGATCACTGTAGTTCAAATCTACTGATATTATATATGTACAAATAATCTTTTACTAAATTGCATAAGGTAAAAATTTCGAAGCATGTAAGTTTTGGAATTATTGGATTAAGTAAACAGCCTGTCTCGGTATTCTGGCTAATGCCCTTACATGGAGGTTCTTCTGTTTCTTGCATCCCTCCCATCATGTCATCTCCATGATCCATATCCACATCCACCTTGCCTAGTTCAATACCTGATTTTTTAAAGAAAACAACAGACTATTAATACAAACATGACATTGTATAATACAAACATGACATCGTATAATGCAAACATGACACCATATTATTATGAAATAACAGAAACACAGCAGATGAAACTAACTCATTCCCGGCGGCAGTGCTACTTCCGTAATTAATTTATTTGCCTGAGAGAGGGAAGTAACTCCATTTTGCAATTGACTTACATTTGTAAAATATTTATTTAGTCTACTAAATATTATTTAATGTTAACGCATTAAGAACAAATGCAGCAAAAAATGAATTGGGTTTAATAAAAATATAACATTAGCGGCGAAAAAATAACGAACAATGATAAAAAAATCTATTTTCAGCACCTTGGACGAACACATCCCGCATATAGACGCGCTGTACTAAAGCACACATAGTTTCAAAGTGAAACAAGATTAAAAACTTCCGGTTTTTAAATTGAAATCATGCTGAATCCCGCCATCGCCGAAAGTCTCAAGGGATACGAGATTTCATTGCTATTTATAAATAGAAATGAGAGAGGTGTGTCGCTATGTGCCGGGACGCATCCGTCGAAACCCCCAATTTAGTCGCAACCGTCGGGAATGAGTTAAACTACTATAAATAAAAGATTTCAGTCATGACTTCCACCGAGTTTGAGATTAGAAACAGACCTTTCTCTGGATCATACTCATCAGTTTCTTCTTCACTGTCACTGAGGATTGGCGGAGGGCCAGGAGGAGGACCCGGTGGTCTTTTCTTCTGACTTCTGATGTGAATTGGAATTTGGGGACCAATGGAAGGGGGCCTGAAAACACACACACAAAATGTACTTTTAAATGAAATTTTTAAAAATTATTTTTTTTATTGTAACGGCATAATGCACCCATTTACACATTGAGGTCAATTGTTCATTTGGATTATCAAATTATTTCCGGCTGTTTACAGACAAGAAAATTTGAACAATCCATCATAGAATTAGGTAAGTCCATTCAATAATAGTTCTTTATCCCTAACAGGAATTAATGAGAATTTCTTGGTTTTGCCAAAATGCTAAAAGCTGATACAATGCATCATGCTAGGCAATGACTAACTAATAAAACTATAAAAACGTTATTTTACCCATAAGCTGATGTTTTTTTCAGTATTGACTGGGGCTGCAAATGGCCCAATGATAATGATAGACCAGGTATTGACATGTGCAAAGGCATATCGGCTGGTAGAGGAATGGCACCTGGGACTGGAACAAAGAAGATGAAAAAAAAAAATAATAATAATTTTTATTTATTGACCTTTATTGTGTTTAAAGGTCTGGTTTTCTCTACTCATTAATAAAAACTACAATTTAAATGAAAGTTTTAAAAAAATGTAATATATGAATGATGAAGAAGTGTTCTGTTCTGGACCATTCTCTGTTGGTGGCTGTCTAAGGATCAAAGGTAAGACTTACTTAAAGATGCTAATGACATGAATAATATCAAGGGTCCAGTTCACAAACATAAATGTTGATTCTGGATTAACTCACCAAAGGACATCATCTTTACATTAGATACATAAAACAAGCTTCTCAAGTAAAGAGATTATGCTCACTGCACTATTTAATCTACACCAACAATTACAATTAATGCTCCCCTGATGGTCAGACTCTAAGATTAAGCTGTCAAGTAAACAAATCACATTGTCAAGTTAATCATGGACTGAAAAACACCAACTTCCCTACCACTCCCTATGATCAAGACAAATTAATTTGTTCAAGTATTTCAAATATTAATTCTGAAAACACAAAGCTTTATCTTAAAAGGTCATAGTTGAAACCAAATATTACAGCAGAATAAATAGGTCAGGACAAACAGATTTAAAATGTTCAAATTTATGTGGACAACTACTTTTTAATAATTTATTTCAAAATTTAAACTTTTCCCCCAGCCAGCTTTTATGTTAATGTTATGGTCAATGTTTTCAAACGCTGATTCCTATGAAGGTGTGTATTATATACCTGAGGGGTCAACTGGTGCATCTGGCAATGGGATCTGATCCAGCTGTACTCTTTCAGCATTGCGTACTTGATCTAAAGTTTGGAAACATATAAATAATTAAAAATATGTCAAAATCATAAAAATTTAATAATCATGGTCTCTTATAGAATGATGAACTAAAGAGAGCTTGTGTTATTTTGGTCTCTTATAGAATGATGAACTTCAGAAAGCTTTTGTTATTTTGGTCTCTTATAGAATGTTGAGCTACAGAAAGCTTGTGTTATTTTGGTCTCTTATAGAATGATGAACATCAGAAAGCTTGTGTCATTTTGGTCTCTTATAGAGTGATGAACTACAGAAAGCTTGTATTATTTTGGTCTCTTATAGAATGATGAACTACAGAAAGCTTGTGTTATTTTGGTCTCTTATAGAATGATAAGCTATAGAAAGCTTGTGTTATTTTGGTCTCTTATAGAATGATGAACTACAGGAAGCTTGTGTAATTTATTTCCAAACACAGAGTCTTATTTATGTACGTTTTTCTAGGTACATAACAAACATTTGTTCAAGCAAATGATTTCAATGCCTCCATATTTTTGAACATGTTTAGATGATGTAATAGTGCTGCATATAATAAGAAAACTTTCAATAATGTCTCCATCAACCTGATTGGACATGACAATGGCCCATGTAAGTGACACTCAGAGTTTGCAAATGACTCCAGTTTGATGGCCTAATCAGTTTGTTCTACAATGTGGAGCTGCACATTTTCAACCCTGGACTTCTGTTACAGTACTTGATATTAATTATTTAAATTGTTTTCTTGGGGTTTAAGAAGAAGAGGTGTATTTCAGCACTGTCTACAAGTATCACAATAAATAAATGTATTAAAAGTGTTAATTCCCTCAGATATTTTTAACAAGTACCCACCATAATAAAGCTGTAACTGTGAACGAGTTTTTTCATATTCTATGTTTGCTTTCTTTAGTTCTATAGCATACTCTGGTCTTTCTTTTTCCTGGAAAAAATATTTAAAGTAAGAATATATAAATTACTGTAAACTAAGGTTATCTAAGATATATTTACTATGTAGTTTGGGGTATTAAGCACCGAATCATACATTTGATAAAAAGTTTATAAGGATATATTTTCTGTGTAGTTTGGGGTGTGAAGCACTGAATCAAACATTTGATAAATAAGGTTATCAAAGATCTAACTATTTTGGGAGCTATTTAGTGATGGGATTGACAATAAGAAATGGAGATGAAACTTTAGAAATATAATAAACACTTATCTCTCATTTAACATACATACTTACATATAATTTAAATACTCTATCAAAAGTTTCTCTAAGCTTCTTTCTCTTTTCTCTAAGCACTTTCTCATTAAGTGAAGGGGGCTGCATGGGATTGTACTCTGAAAATGTATACATTCAAAACTATGAAATATTTTATAGTTTATTTATTCACATCAACAACATAATATATAGATTAGATTTATATTATTTACAGTAAAAAGGAAATTCATATAAGGAATTATGATGGTTATAACGTGAAATGGTGTGTTTTTTATTTCAATAAAATGCCTTTCAAGAGTAGATGTATCATGTCATTGTTTTACACATTTTACATTTATTTATCCTCAATGATCCATGGTCAATGTTTTTTTAAAACTGAGTTTCAAAAAAAAAAAAAAAAAGTATTTCCATAATGTTCAGGTTAAAAAAATATTGTTTATGAAAAATAGATTGAAACTGATTTCTTTTCTTTTACCCATTCTGTCAATCACTTCCATTTCCTCAAGAAGTTTCATTGGGTCTTTTCCTTTCAGAACAGCTGTTCTTACCATAATACGCTGCTTTTTATTCTAAAGAGAAAAAAGGTAATAAAATAATGAGATGATAGAAAGAAATATTTAAATATTTAACAATAAAATCTCTTGTCTGGAAACAATTTGATAAATGAACTACAATTAATATTTCCACCACAGTTATAAAAACTTGAAGATTTATGTCACAATATTCAAAACCCTCATGAAAATCACTCCCCAAGATAAATGTAATGGGGGACTGGCCATTGAAAATTCCTATTTTAAAGAAAAAAAATGATCTGACCTTTTTTAATTCTCTTTTTCTTGCTTCTTTTCCTGGAAAAACAGAAAGTCACAAAGTGTAAAATAAACATTTCCTATTTCACCTTGCACAATTTAGAATAAATTGTTATATTTAATTTTAACTAGAAAACTATTTAACGAAAAATATTAAATTAAGTCCTTATGCAATATTGGGCTTATTTGTTAAACCAATTTAATTCAAATCAGCTTTTTGAATTGACATTAAAACAAAATCAAGCCTATCAAATGAATAGTTATGAAGATTCACTGTATCATAATTATTTGAAGAGTAAATAGTAGGATACTCAATAATATAAAAATTTAAAGGTTAGATCATATTTTAGCATCATAAGTTAAAGGCCAGTTATCACATATTAACATTTTTAATTTTAAAATTATCTCCCCTTCTGAGATGACTTCTAAACAGATTGTTAGTAAACACAAAATTTCAGCATCCCTATACTTTTGAGTAGGGGTGTGCCGGACCCCGGTCCGGAATCCGGTTCCGCCGGATTTTGCACTATCCGGTGAAATCCGGTTCTGCTGGATTTACATGTATCCGGAACAACCGGATTCCGGAATCCGGAATATACCGGATTTCGGAATTTGCCAGATTTTGTGACTCACCGGATCATAATCTGAAATAAAAGTAATTCTCTTTCCCGAATTTCACACGATCACGATACATTAATCGATTGTTTCGAGCGTTGAGCTTGTTTAATGTTTAATATTCCGTACATACCAGAGGCTAGAGTCAGCACCGCTAATAGTGGCCAATAGTGTAGGGACTTTGATAAGAAAATTTAAACTTTTTGTAAAAATAAACCAATGGCATAGTTGAAAAGATGTAATTTTTTAAAGAATTATAACACCAAAATCATATTTTTAGCTGTTGTAGTTTTAAAGTTATGAATTTTTAAAGTACGACTTGGTTTGTCATTTTTTAACATGGACTGCATCTCCACATTCTGTGATCTCATTCCACCAATCCCGTCATGCGCAATGACTATATAGTTTATATAAGGCAACGCATTCCCTGCCTTATCACTAAAATACTGTTTAGACTTAGTTTAAACTTTCAACTTTGGCACATGAATAATTAATTAAAGCTTTCCCTGACCAATGGTTTAATAGTTTTTGCACACGGCAAACTCTTATGAATGAAACTCTGAGGTAGTACTACGATACAGTTATGCAAGTGGCTGTGAATGGTTGCCAATGACAACGTGTTGCACACGGTAAATTCTGATCATTTATAATATGGATTCTACCGGGTTGTTAAAGCTCAAATTAAAACATTCCAGTTTAAATGTCTTTAAATGCATTCTGAAACACAAGTTATCAATTATTTTGATGTAAATAGTGATAATAAATTAATATTTCCTAAGTATCGTCAACTTCCGCCATTAAAAAGGGGGGCGTGGCCAACCCCATGGCGAAATTAGGTTGAGCGAGCTGCATAACCTGCTGCGAACGCGTAGAAACATGGCGTCTCTCGTAAGACACTTATCCAAATGGAACGGAACTCAAATATATATCGAAAGTACTAATTTAATAATAAATAGACACACACATCGGAAAATTAAAAACTCGGATTTTTTGGCGCCGATTGCGAATTCCCATACACAAAAAGTAGTAGTCCACCTTGACTTACCGAAGTATCTACCAATAGTACCAAAATCCGGAATCCGGGAGAAACCGGAATCCGGATCCGGCGTATTTCGCATAAGAAAATCCGGATCCGGTTGGAAAAAAACGGATCCGGCACACCCCTACTTTTGAGCTTGTTTTTAAATGGGTAGACAGCAGCCTGTGTGTTGACCTAGTTTTTGCTCCTTCTGCATGGTGTGGAGCCGTGGCATGCATCCCATACCTCCTCTATTGTTTCTTTTAATGACATCACCAATTAATGTGGTCACACATGCTGCCCTCACCACCTTTTATTGAGAAAATTTGTTTACTATTTCTAGAAGTCTACAAAGAGTTAGAAGATTGAATTTCTATCTGTTGTGGGGGGTTCTGACTTGCTCACTATAATTGTGAGGGTAGATTGTGACCAGCAGACTTACTGTAATTACAAGACAAGAGACCTTACAAGACTTACTAGATTTTTCACTGTGTGTGTGTGATTAATATTTTTACTTTCTAATACTATATGTTTTCACTTGCTGTCAGTTAATATAGTTTTTATTTCTGTACATTTGATTTTGTATTTTTATATCAACTTAAAATTATAATGAAAGTGATTATTGTTAATAGTACTAGCTTTGGAAAATTTGTTTTTAAATTAAATTCATAAAACCATATAATGGTACTTAACAGAAGTCTCTTTTTTCATATAAGCTATGCAAGTGTGCAAAGGTGAAGGTAGGGAAAGTAAGGGCACTTCCAATAAGACTACAACCAGGCAAACATACTATAACATAGTAACTTTATTGTATCCCTCAGCCCGCAGTATTGCTGCAGGAACTTTCAACAATAACAAATAAGCGCTTTGTTTCCTCCCGTAGTCTCAGCTGCTAGTGTTACATAGCGACTAGAAATAGTGTGCACCGCATTTTTAATCACAAATAAATAACAATATTTTGCGCCCTGAATAAAAAAATTGCAGACTATGTCTACAACTTTAAATTCCTATAATATAGTCATCATAGGGATACTATTAACAAATTTTGTATTTTGATAAATCAATTGTTTTTCCTAATATTATTAATATTAACTATTATTCTATTAATAATAATCATCAGTTGACATCAGTCGTCATGATTATCATTATCATCATGATCATAATCATGGGTTAGGGCTACGGCTACGGCTAGGCCTAGGCCTTCTAAGCCTTCTTATTATAATACTTATTTGAATTTGGCATTAAAAACAATTTTATGACTATGACTATGGTTAACGAGTAATTATAATCTGCCTTTTCAAGCCCTCAATAATTGAGTTAAGACTAAGTCTAAGTCAAGAGTCTATGGTTAAAAATGTAAGGTGAGTTATAATAGAAAGATTATGAATGACTGATCAGACTGATCATGACTAATTCTAGTCCAGAATCAGAATCAGAGATGAGCCATGAATCTAGCCCTTAAATAGGAACATTTATACTTACTAAACTGATCGGTGGGATTCATATATTTCCCACTCTTAGTGGTGTTAATAGATCTTCTCCCCATTTTGATTCTGCAATTACTGTTCTATTCAAATTCTTAAAAGATAAAATATTTTAAAAGAATATTATTTTCATAACGCAACAAAACTAATAAAGGGCAGGTAATAACTCCACTGGATAAAAAAACATGATTTTCCGGAAGTTAAATGTAAAATACGAAATGATTATTGCTAAGAAAATAAAATATTATTTTAAAAATAATAATAATGGGAATAAGATGAAATACGTTATAATACAAGGATTTTGAGCGGAGCTCGAAGATGGAACTAGGATAGTGTGACCAAACGTCCCGTCACGATCGTACCCGGTGTCCCCAAAAAGTCTCTTGGGATGCCTAAATTTAAATGTCCCATTTCTAAAACCAAACACATTTTCAAATCACTAAAACTTCCTAATTTATAATATAACTTCAAGTATATTTTGTCTAGATGTGTAGCCAGTGCCAGTAGTGATGTGGGTATGTGGGCTCGCGGGATAGCTGCACTGTTCCCCCTCCACCACTCTGCCGACGATGCGTAAACGACAGTGTCCCTGCCGTAGATCTTATATGTATAAATAAATAAGTACACACTGCAAAATTATTGTTTTCATTTATGAAATGCCTCAGAGTTTAAAATAAATGACAAAAGTGATGGTAAATGTAAAAAGATTTCTAGGTCTCAAAATAGTTAAAATGAGCATATTTCAATAAAAGTTTCCCGGACCCCTCTTTAGCTGGAGGGTATCTCTCCTCCCCCCCCCCTTTTCAACCCTCCTTGAGAGTGTCCCGTTTTTTCCAGTTCATGTTTTGGTCACCCTAAACTAGGAGCTCTTGTGTCACTTTGCTAGAAGAAGGTCAAATTTCTTAAATAAAAAAATGTCATTTTTATTTAAAAAAAAAAAATAATAATTTATTTAAATTTCAATGTATGCCCTGTTCTCCAATTCTTCTACCAGTTATGTTGCCCTACTCTTCGTCAACCATGTTGTCCCCCTCAGATCTGTGGTCAGTGCTTGTTTCTGTCATCTTCGCGCTTTGGGTCAGCTGCGTCCTCACCTTAATAAGAGAACAACCAATGCCGTAGCAGTCACTGTAACAGTTCTTTGCGGGGTTCACCTCAAAACCAAATTCAGAGACTCCAGAAGGTACAAAATAGGCATTGTATCGCGTATAGAGAAATCTGACCACATCACCCCAGTTCTTAACGATCTCCATTGGCTTCCTATGAGTGTGCGCATAGCTATGTAGAAAATAAAATGAGTAAAACAGAGTAGGGTTAAACCTGAACAAATAAACGCAACAAAACAGCGAACGTGTCGGCAGAAAGCCTTCGTCAGCGAACAAAACAACAGAAAAAACGGTATAAAAATAAGAAATAGCACTTAGCTGGTAAGTAGTATCTGTGGGCAGCAATAAAAGTGTATCCATACAGAACCTGCGCTCTTCAACTCAGTCCTTACTGAGAGTTCCCAGTGTGGATGGACACTGAAAGAAGTCATACGGGGTGCGCTCTTTTAAAGCTATTGTGCCTAAATTGTTGAACGGCTAGCCTCAATCTTTGAGGGACATTGAAAATGATAAAGACTTAAGAAACATTTAAAGACTTTTTTTCTATATATAGATTTTAGGACATCAGAGCGCTTTGAGCAGGCTAAAATAGCATGGACACAAGCGCTATAAAAGTACTCAGTCCTCATCATTATCACTCTTCTACAACTATGTTGCCCCACTCTTCTACGGCAACGTTTCCCACTCTTCTACCAGCTATGTTGCCCCATTCTTCTACAGCTATGTTGCCCCACTCTTCTACCAGATAATTTACCATTTATCCTTCTTTTCTAGAGCTATGTTGCTGTTAAATGCATATATAATGCCTAGTTAACAAGATAGGTAAGTGTCAAACACATTTCTTTAAGCACTAAGCACGCCGCTCCCTTTCAACAACCCATGCTTTCTTCTGATGTTGCCGGAGCGGAGCTGGAGCTGACAAAAACTTTTTCCGGAGCAGTGTTGGGGGGGGGGGGGGGAGAAACAACCTGCTCCAAATCACTTATTAAAACCTAGGGGTACGGAGGGGAGACCACCCCCAGAGTACACTTTTGGCGCTTCGCCTGGCTTAGGCTATAAATAACATTATATAAACGATGAGTGTAGGCCTAGTGGCGTTAATGTGTATGTTAATTAGTTAAGTAGACACACACAATGTGTGTAAATAAAACAATAAACGTTCAGCTTAAATAATGAGTATACAGAATACAATGAAAATGCTGTCAACTTTTTTTTTCCTTTCATGCCAGCAACAATGCTTGTATTTGTATGACGAATCAAATAAACGAGGTCATCTTGAGGCGCATTTGAAGGCCAAACATAGTGCTTATTTAATTCAGATTTAAAGTACTTATAAACGTAATTCAAAATTAAAGTACTTATAAAAATTAAAATCAAATTAAAAAAAAAAAAAAAAGAACCTTAAAGTCCATGTTTACTGCTCATACTGCAACTGTCAATCGTATTCGTGAGGGTATTTTGTGAAATGTATTTACTCATTGCTAAATCTGGGGAAAAATCAAAATTTTAAATAGTACTGGAAAAAAAGCTGACAAGACGTCCAAGCTAAGCCACTCTGTAACAATTCTTTTAGCAGAAGAGTAGATGAAATGAATGAAGATATTGAAATACAATTTGTTGAAAAGATGAAAAGAAAACAATTCTTGGTGCAAATTTATGAATCAACTTTGAGAGACAGTGAGGCCGTACTGATGACTTACTTACGACTTATTGATAAAGAAGATTTTGATGAAGAAATGTTGTTCTACAGAACATTAGAAAACACGTCTGCTGCCAAAGATATAAATGATAAATAAGATTTATATGTCAATAATATAACAAGAAAATTAAAATATCTTGTGCCGCACATTGTGCTTCTATTTATGATGGGCAATAAAAATTAATGCTCAACATTGGTGAAGGATGAGAATCCAAAAATGCTTCAAGTTCTAGTGCATTGTTATTCATAAGGAAAACTTGGTAGCTAAAACTATTTGGCCTGTTCTAAATGAAGTACTAAATTCAGTTATAAAGTGAACCAATGCTATTAAAGCTAATGCCAAATGTGAATGTCTCTTCAAGCTATTGTGTGAAGAACAAAATGCAGATATTATGAGACGTTCACTTCACACTGAAGTAAGGTGGACCTCGAAAGGGAACTGCTTGAAAAGATCTATGGACCTATTTGATACTCTTGGTGACTTTTTAAGCAAGAAACTAGAAATAAAGAACCCGCTAACAGTTGATGGTAAATTATTTGTGAGCTATTAGATGATATCTTTGGAAAAACTAAATATATTATAAATAGCCAACTTCATTTGCATAATGCTGCTGCCAAGTCGTACCAACATAAAGGTAACTCGACTTGAAGAACATCTCAAGTTAATTATTCAGTTTGGCGCAGGGACGTCATTTGGGTAGGGCAGGCTGGGGCACCCCCCCCCTCCATAAATTTGCAGGTTTTATTTAAATTGCTATTTACTGTGGCGCCTCCAGTAATAAACAAAGTCACAAGTAGACCAAGTTTTGGTTTTTGCCCCCCCCCCCCGAAAAACCTGGAATGACGCCCCTGTGTCTTTCTTAATCTTCGTATTTCTGTTCAGCTAAAGCTGATCATTGCAGTTTCAATTGCTGACTGCAAAAGATCTTTCAGTAAAATGAAACTAACCCTTGATAATTTAATGACATGATATATGGGACAAGGCAGACTCCACTCTTGCTGCACTCAGCGAAGAAAGAGAATAAACTGATAAAAACGGACTTTGAGCGCATCATGGAACAGTTCACACCAATAAAAGCAAGAAAAAGGCAGTTGTAGTTTTATTCTTGTGTGAGTGGTGTTTTTTTGGTGTTGTTTTTTGTTGTTGTAATTTTGTTTCGACCAATGTTCTAAAAGTTTTAAATTAGACAAAAAATGAGAGTCTATTGTGAGTTCCTGTTTTTAATAATCGTGTGCTGTGATAGATCCAGAAACTTAGATTCCTTGACCTTAAAAACCTATCTCTGGAATTTGTAATAACAGCCTACTGATATCTTATTGTCCAAAAGTTACTCACAACACTCTAAGCGTTTACAATGCGCAAATTACACACTTTAACAGTATACAGCCAGTACATTCTTTATTGTTCGAATTTTACTTGTAAGAGCATTAAACAGGTGGCAAGACAAAGTCCCCGACACCGAGGTCCTCGCTAGAGCGAACCTACCTAGTATCTTCACCACTCTGATGCAGTCTCAGCTCCGTTGGATGGGACACGTAGCCCGTATGGCAGACCACCGGCTCCCGAAACAAATATTCTTTGGAGAACTCACGATAGGCAAGCGCTCCCAAGGAGGCCAAAGAAAGCGTTACAAAGACTCACTGAAAGTGGCACTAAAGGCCTTCAGCATAAACCCTACTCAATGGGTGCAGACAGCCCAGGACAGAGCCAGATGGAGAGCTGCTGTCAAGAAGGGGGCTAAATCCCATGAAGCTAAGAGAATAACCACAGCTGAGACACGCAGGCTTGTCCGAAAGAGCAACATTAGGTCATCGTCTGAAGCAACTATTCCATGCCCACTGTGTCATAGATTATTCCGAGCAAGGATCGGTCTAACAAGCCACCTAAGAGCTCACCGTAATCCCACCCCCCCCCCGCCCGCCCCTAACCGGATGATTCGATGGTCCTTGTCGACTTCGACGGACGAACAACAAAAAAATAAAATAAAATAAAGCATACAAGGTATTCCCAAAATTAAGTAATGGCTAATGCAAATTACAAAACTTTCTGCAGGAGACAACACCATATCAAAATAGTTTGTGACATCCTGCAAACGAACATCCTAGATGTAGGCCTAGTGGCAAAGCTGTGGCGTGCGAAATGGTGGGGTGGGGGCAATGTTCCCTTTAAGCTGCGCGGCCGCGTAGCTATCTCACAGACGCCACGCAGCAGTTTTGAGTACCGCGCAGCAAATTCCACGTAGATGTTTTGAGTGTTAGTTTGTTTTTGTGGGCTGTAAAATTTTGCACACAAAAAATTGATGCTGTAAAACTTTGCACACAACTGTATGTTTTTGCACACTAACCAACAAAGCTTAGAAGGAACATTGGGTAGGGGTGCCAATTTTGAGGTTATATGCAACAATGTATAAATATCAATTATGTATGGGTTAGGGGGTGCACTTTTGTGAGTTTTCCCTGGGCATCATTTAGTCATGGTACGCCACTGGACTTACCAGTTACATGAACCCTATAAGACTTAGGCCTACGAGATATAATACTTACTAGATTTTTGTTCCCTGTGTTTGTTTATTAATATTTGTTCCTTTCTAGTATTAAACATTTTCATGGGATTCAAAATGACCATGAAAATGATGTTTATTTGCATTCTTATTAGCATTTTTTATCGTGTGGGGGCTTGGGGTTGCAGGATATATCCTCTACATTTTGAAACGAAGGGAGTGCGGCGCTGAAGAAAGGTTAAGAACCCCCTGGCCACTGTTATAACAATTTTTAAATACTTAAACATTGATCGAAATTAAAGAGATTATTTGTGTGTGTTAAAATCAGTTCTTTTCTTGCTTAAATGAAGATAATTTTAACCTATTAGTGGTAATGGCCGGAAATAGTGAAACCTTTTGATTTTGAAAAGCAATCAAATATAATTTCCCGTTTCGAGTCCAAACCAGTCTTACGTTTTCTAAGTTCTCTAGTTACCAAAAACGGGTATTTCCAATTACCAGTTATTCTAAGTGACAGTAAATCAAGCCCAAAGCTAACAACGGTAATCTTCTCGGAATAAAAATAAAAGAAATTGTTATGTTTAATTAAATAATGATTAGCCTTAATTCTAAATAGGTTAAATATATTAAATTTCAATTTTGATTTGATATGATTAATATTAATATGAATTCATTTTGAGTGCAAGACGACAGACATAAGTTAAAGTCATTAGTCATTAGTTGTAGGCAGGTAAGAAGTCCTTAGACTTAGACTTAGTTAGAAGTGTAGTGTAAACCAAAATGACCAAATTAAATGTCACAAAATGAAAGTGTAAGGCAAGGCAAGGACGCAACTAAACTGTGTCTGCATTATTTCATGTCAGTGTGTCTACTGTGACAATGACAAGTGAAATTTAGTATACATTTAAAAAAAAAACCTACTGAAAATCTTAAATGGTCCTTTCATAAATTACGTGAAATTATATAATAAAAGCCCCCCTGGTCAACAATAGTCAAAATTTTGTAACCCTTCCTCATCCCATAATTTATGGACGGTCCCAACGTCAAAGAGTATAGTATAGACATAATGCCGCACCAATATAATAATAGGTCTATATATTGTATTTGATGATGTTACTTACACTACTTAGACCTACGGCTACTTTTGTAAGCACTTGTTGGCTTGAGTTGTGGATCATCCATAAATGACATCACAATATTTTGGCAGTTTTTGTTGGACCCCCCAACCCCCCCCCCCACCCCTTACGGTCACAAATTTGCTTCACAAATAAGACACCCTATTAATGGGCTACGTCATACAATTTTTTCCCCACCCTCCCTCATAGATGTGTGACACTTAAACATTTAATGGGTCTCGCATAACCTACCAGCAGCTTGATAAATGTTTGCATAAAATTTACAAATTGTAAATAATTATCTGTTAAATTTTCAAACAGTAAAAACAAAAGATGAACAGAAAATAAAATATTATTCCACTGGTTATTTTAGAATTGAACTCTGAGTGAATTTTGAAGCCCATCTTAATGACATATGTTAGAAATTAACATGTGGCTGCCAACAAAATACAATTATTTCCATGCAACCCTCTTACTCTTATATATGTATCTTATATATGTAGGTCTATGTTAATGAATATATAAATTATTAGAAAACAATGGGAATTTTTACTTAAATTTTTTTCATTTCTTTGTTTTTCCTGACTTTTTTATTTTGTAATTATAATTGACCACAGTGTTGTCGAAGCATTTTGTACCATGATTACTACTTTGGGCCAAATGTTTAGGCACATTTGTGTGTAATGTGCTGAATTGATCATTGGAGTTACATGACTTTCATTCTTCTATCATAGTAGACTAAGATTTTTTTATATAGTGAACTTTCACTTGCAAATGATGTGCACTGTATGAAATTATATTTTTAAGAAAAAGAATCAAGTAAACATTTAAATTAAGTTCTTTTAAGTCGTCTAACAATAATATTAGAATATAACTAAGTTCTAACGAATGTAATTATTTAAATTTTTGTACTCTTTAGACAGAAAAACAGCAGTCTGAAATATGGCAAATCTTGGAGCAGAAGACCAAATGTCAGAGGAGTCTGAAGACATGTCATCAGATGAAGAAGCAACAGAAGATTTAGATAGTAAGTTTCACCAGTGTCAAATGCCTAATTTAAGCCAGCTATGGGCTTACTTAATTATTTCAAATTATAAAGTATGCCCATTGCAAGAACTGAACTAAAAACGTTTCACCTCTTACTTTAAAAGCCTCACTAAAGGGCCATCCATAAATAATGTCATTCAAATTTTGGCAATTTTGGCTCCCCCTTTCCCCCATCATCACAAAAAGATAGACCTCCTCCCCTATAATATTAACTTCACAAATGTCTGCGCTCTCGCTACCCTTCCCCACCCTTTATAAAAAAATTCATCAGTTCACCACTGTCCTTTACAAACCCTTAAAAAAGTCACCCCATGGATATCAAATTACTGCAGCTGTGTCAGAAGCATTTCCTTAGAACAATGGTTCTTAAACAGGGATCAAAGCACCCCACTATGGTACGGAAGACCCAGAAAATGAACAAGCATTTGCTGCCATTACTAGACTAGTTGTTCCTGCCTTTAAAAATAAAATAATTTTTTATGCATGTTGATTAGCAACAGTAAATGTTTTTTCTGGTGAATTTTTTGTGTGAATTACTTGTGTGGGTAACTTTTTCTTGTTTCTAAAATGTTAATTAAATAAATAAAAGTACAATAACTGAATTATTTAATTATTTTCTTTTTAAAAATTTAATTTAATTACAATATAATTTATTCAGGGGTGGATGGATTGTGGGAAATGTTAATACCTGTCCTAGAGAATTTATTAACATCACACACCCCCCACCCATCAACCATTTTTCGTTCCATCTCACTTCACGTGGCAGCCCTAATTCTATAACTCCCTTCCCCACATTTCGACATAAATTGTCATGACTGTAACTTGATCAGATGCCATGTCTGGGACCACTCATACCTGTACTGATTTTCACAGTTATCGTAGTTTAAAAATAAAATAATTTTAAAAAAAATTGCTTAACACCCCCCCCCCTCCCATTCACACAATTCACACATCATCACAAAAATGTGCCCCCCCCCCCACCCACGACGCATGATGTCATTTATGGATGGCCCCCAGGTACAAATTATTTAATAATACTGAAATGCCTTTACCTTTTACATGAGTAGAACTTATCCTATTGTTTAGCCTACAAAAACCAATACTTTGCATGTAGTTCAAGAATTGTGGGATTTTTTTCACATTGCCAAGTCTTTTCTATCACAGGTGTGGATGGTTTAAAGAATTTCTTAAAGAAAAATTTGGTCAAATTTGCAAGCCGTTTACGGTGAGTTTTGTAGCGAAATTGAACATTCTTTGCCAATAAGTTCCTCAGCATCTTTTAGGGACAGCGGTATTTGTATCTTTAAAGTTTTATTACTTAGGGTAAAAAATGTAGGGATCTTGTCGATGCCTGGTTAACATTTTGGAGGCCTGGTGCAAACAGTGCAACTGACCTAATCACAAGAAAAAATATATAACTGTTTTGGCAGTTAAGGATTATGAAGTTGTTTTAGGATTGTTTTAAATTTTTTTTTACAACTTCACCTGTTAAAATATATTTATTGAATTTGAAAAGTCTTTCTTTAGAGCAGTGGTTCTCAACCTTATTAATCCCGCTACCCTTTAATACAGTTCCTCATGTTGTGGTGACTCCCCAAACATATAATTATTTTCGTTGCTACTTCAAAGGAATAAATGTGCCAATCTGTCCTTGTCCACTTTTAACATAAATGATACATTTCATCCATTTTGTATACCGGGTAACTGAATAAATTTCCCAGTTTCAGCCACCGTAACTGATCCATTTTAATTATTAATTCTTTGTATGTTATAGAATATAACCTGACGAGAATTTTCAAATATCTTACATATGAGCAGCGATTAACAAATAATATTCTTCCAGATATTCAAAAACCCATAAAATTTACAATTATCAGCACTTCCAAATACTTATGTAGCATCTCTAAGTGTCATTCCCTGTGAAACAAGAAATTGACACTGTAGTCACTTCTTTCATATTCCAATTAAATTGTTAAAGAATAATCTGTAAGGAGTGGCAGTAATTATGTCAGGATCAATAGATGAAGTTCACAACAATTTATAGGTGGTATAGTTTCAGCAGCTGGATGCAGTTCAGCACCAATATAAACAATGTTCATTCTATATCAACAAAAATAGGCCATAGGAAATACAAAAAAAGAATTATAATAAATGAAGTTTCTTTTTTAACATGAAAAAAATAGATTTGAAGGCAATGGTAATAGAACCCTATTTACTCTGATGTTGGCAAACTATTTGAATTTTATTGACAATTTTCTTTTTAGGATTAAAAAAAGGACAGCCCCTGAGTCTTTCGAACCACCATCAATTCCCAGCACAGACTTCTCAGAGGGCAAAGACAAAACTATGAATAACACTTATGAATTCAACTATCCCAGGAGAGGATTGGCACTTATAATAGATAACGAGCATTTTCAACCAGCTGGCCCATTTTCAGACAGACCAGGTTCCTCCTGTGACTCAAGGTCTTTAAAGAAGACGTTCAATAGATTAGGTTTTGATGTAATGATGTTGAAGGATTTATCTTCCAAAGCAATGTATCAAACCCTTACGTCAGGTGAAGAATATACAATTTGTTGAAAACAGGCAACTTAAACAGCTAAATAAACTAATTAAATTTTTATCAATGTGGAGCAAATGGCATTCCAAAGAAAAATATATTGGGATACTACCGGTAGTAAATATCAATGAGTGGAAAGTATTGCACCAATGCTAAGTAGAAAATTAAAATCTAAATAGTATTCAGTCAGTTGATATTCAATCAGTTCTTATTCATCTGTAAAAAAAAAAAACGATTTCTAAAATTAATGAAAGAAATTAAAAAATATCATGAAGGTAGTATGTTAATTGCTATTTTTGCATTCAAATTCAAGCTTCTCAGGACTACAATCATGCTGCTGCAGACTGCTTTGTTTGTGTTATTCTATCTCATGGACATGAAATATTCATTCAAAAAGAAAACTCGAGCACCGAGTCTTATGTCCATGTTAGACAAGATATTATTTTTGGAGTTAATGGAAAAGCTCTTGCTACTGAAAAAATTCTGAACATTTTCAATGACTCGAGCTGTCCGGGCTTAGCAGGCAAACCAAGGATATTTTTCTTTCAGGTATTTATTTTATTGCTCTAGATATGTTACCGTAACCATGGTAATAAAAAAAGACTTGATTTAGAGAAATTACCGTTTTAAAAAAAAAATGTGACCAATTTTTTTCCTTTTTCATAGTGATCAATTTTTAAGAATTTCTTTACTAAAAAATTTAACATGAAAGTAAATAATGGTCTTAAATAATGGTCTGTAATAATGGTCTTAAATAGTCGTCTGTAATAACTGTAAATCATCAAAAAGAAGGCATGTCCCGAGGTAACAGTTACTTCAAAAGTTATTGTAAAACATTTTTGCACAAAATCAGTTTATTTCAAACAGTAACCCAATATGTCAATCATTTATCTGCTGATGTGGATGTTTCTGCATGAAAGTAAAGGCTGACTTGTTAGGTTTCTGGTGGTGTTTCTCTACAAAGTGAAGCAAGTACTGTTTCTGTTTGTGAAGCAAGTACTGTTTCCGTTCATTTTGATTTGTCGAGAATTCATTGAACGCCAGAATCAAGGCCACCTCCCACTCATCGTTGGCTGCATTGCTGACAACTTTCAAACTCCTGACAATGAGTTCACCAACAATGTCGTCAAAGTCTCTGCTCCATGTATCTGGATTATTGATGTGAAAAGTTTCTTGTGTATCCAATGCTGTGAAAAGTTTCCTGGTGTGTTGCTATTTAAAGTCAGACAGCTGCCGCTTTAGTAGTGATGGGTGGAAGGCAATGCATCTAGAATTTCACTACTAGAATGATCAGATGTATTTGTGTCTGTCCCTTTTTGTGTTTTCTTATAGCTCTCCAACTCATGGAGTAGATCCAGGTCATTCTGCAGAGTAGATCCAGGTCATTCTGCGGAGTAGATCCAGCTCATTCTGCGGAGTAGATCCAGGTCACTCTGCGAAGTAGATCCAGGTCACTCTGCAGAGTAGATCCAAGCCATTCTGCAGAGTAGATCCAGGTCATTCTGCAGAGTAGATCCAGGTCATTCTGCAGAGTAGATCCAGGTCATTCTGCAGAGTAGATCCAGGTCATTCTGTGGAGTAGATACAGGTCATTCTGCGGAGTAGATCCAGGTCATTCTGTGGAGTAGATCCAGGTCATTCTGCAGAGTAGATCCAGGTCATTCTGCAGAGTAGATCCAGGTCATTATGTGTAGTAGATCCAGGTCATTCTGTGGAGTAGATGAGGCAAATGGGCATGCAAACCAGGATTTCTGATAGATCTTCATGACCAAAGTTTTGAAGTGGCTTAGATATGACAGGTCACTTGCAGTCAGTCTGAATTGGGGGCGAAACAGGAACATTTTTAGACTGTAAATCATCCTCCCCATCCACTGAACTCGGTGCTGAACTCTAGGAGCCTGAATATGTATGTTACTGCAATCTGCTCTGAAAAATATAAGCAACTGTTGCAGTAACTCATGGTAATCATCTCTGGCCTTAAATTCTGTTAGTTATTGCAAAATGAAATGAATGATATCATCCTGAACTGGACTCTACATCTCTATCTAGACCTGTTACGCACTGCTATCCGTAGGGAGAAATTAATCTCCTATTTACATGTATAGGTTCGTTCCAGAACAGTGCATAACAAGACGATACCAATTGATAGAAAACCAGAACAGAGAATATGACACTCAAAACAGTGCTAATTACAATTAATAAGATTTATTTAGTTATCAATATAATTACAAAATAAAAGAAATATAATTAAAACCATGAACTTACAGAGTAGTGTTTCTTGTACCGGCACCGTACAAAAGTTGATGAAAATTACAATGTGCCAAAAGATAAGGTACAATGATGAATGTGAAGTCACACATATAAGTAAACACAGAATAACACACTCTTGTCTCATGAAGTAAAAATATCTCGTGATCTTCCTCTCAATGCTCTCTGAATCCCCTTATATATATCTATAGTTGGTTCTACTGACACACCTGGAAACGTCTTACACATTGTTATCCTTTCCAGTTCACTCCCGACCTTTCCACAAAATTCTATTAGAACAGACAATAAATTTTTAGTTGTTAGTAAACAAGGCCAAGATCAAAGCGAAGACTATTCTTGGCAAGCCGCACCCTAATAGTAGTGCAGCGTCTGCTAGAGTACCCAGCACGGGGAACTATGACGTAAACACGTCGGCTACATAACAGGACCATATTTTACCTAGACCGGAAAATTGAGCCCCAATATTCACCAAATGTCTGGAGCTATTTGATGTTTGGTCCTGAAGATGGTCCCATCTTGTGATGCCTGCATGGTAAGCTGATCAAATCCCTGTCAGGCTTTTCTTCCAAAAGTATGAACTCTAGTTTTACTAGCAGTAGTGTCAAAGCATTTGAACTTAATGTGATCAGCGAGGTTCCATTCTTAAATAAGATTAATCAATGCAGTTGCTTCTGCAAGTCTGGTTCCATTTGGCCACTTTGGTACCCCCAACACGTCACTGTTCCATATCCTTACACCAGAACTATAAGGCAGTCAGCAAGCTCCTTCAAAATTAAAGCAGGCAACCCTTTTTCTATCCCAATGTACTGTTTAATGCAGTTTAGGCCACTATTTCACAGAGCTTGTGTCTAGTTCTTCTGACTGATTCTTTGTTAATTGCTAGGGCTGACAGACTTTGTGCAAGTAATTCTGCTGACCTGTCTTTCGTTTCATCTGAAGCAGCTGATAAACCTGGACTGACAATATTGATTGGCCTGCTTTGCTTCGGTTGACTGGAAGTCTGTTGACTACGAGTTTGTTTCTGATCGGAGGCCTCATCAGCATCACCACTGGTTACACTGCCATTTATGAACTCCATATTAGTCGCCGCTTGTTGCATCCATTCAGCCTCCTTTGCCTTGCATGTTTTTTTCACCAGCAGCCATTTTTGATACCTTTCCGAGCCAACACCATGTCAACGTAACCCATGCTACCACGCTTCCTTTTATCTCTCTGTGCCTGAAGGAATTCTCTGCTTTCATGTAACTTTATCATGGCCAGAGCTTGAGTGTTTGCAATGTCAACAAGATCCTGCAAACTTTCATTAAATTGATGTTCTTTTGCCTTTTATGTGTTCTTTCTGCGAGATGGATTCTTATTAATAAAAAGCCATGACGAATGTAGGTCCTTTATCTTTGATGTTATGTGGCAGTCTTTTTGAATAGGAATATGTGCCTTGTCCAAGAACTGAACAACTTCCTCCAAAGTTGCTGTGGCATGCTGAAATATTATTTAAATCAACCTGTGAAGATGAAAGTAAATATCAACACTTGATTTGACAGAAGTTTGCTTCTAGTGATTGTTTCAAAAGTTCCTCCAACCAGTCATATACTACCATCCTTCTTGAGCTAATCACAACTGATGACTGCCATCTCTCCTGATGATCCGTAATATAATGGACCTTTCACAGTCACTATTTGTTGTGATTATTTTTGTATGTTTTTTGTTTCATTTAGAGGGCTTTAGCCATTTTAAAGTGGTAAAAAAAATCAGTATATATATATATATATATATATATAAATAAGCACTTCTTTATTTAAATGACTCATTTTTTTATAGTGATCTGCAAAATGGCGGTGGTGAATCGGCAGTGCCGAATCGTCAAAGATTCCACTTTTTGTTTGTGATGCTCTGTACTTAAATATTAATATTATTGTAATTGCAAAGATGTTAGTTAAAAAATGTTCTCTTTCTCAAATAAAACCCTCAGTTAACATACAAGTACCTATTGGCAATTTCAATGCAAATTCATTTTCTTGTTTATCCAGGCCTGTAGGGGAGAAAACTTAGACGAAGGAGTGCTAGTTCATGTGACCAAAGAAGGGACAGTAAAAAATCAAACCAAACCAGGAAGGGATGCACACGATGGATTGAACTCTCAGATGTGCAAAGGGTGTGATGGCAAAGTGATGGGTCTTGATAGTCAAGAGGATTTTACGGATGCTTTATCTGGATCTGATGATGAAAGGGAGGAAGATGTTCATGGTGCAGAGTCTGATGTGACTGATGCCAGGACAGGGGAGCAAACCCCAGTAGTTATCACTCCAGCTGCATTATATAAAGATTGTCTGGTCATGTATGCAACTCCTCCGGGTTAGTAGAGATTTAAAAGGACTCAATGGGTTTTATTGTTATGTTTTCCTGGTCTGACTATACTATTAGCACACACAAACATCATCATTTTATCAAGTTGGGGGTAACGTTACCATTTAGGTTAGTTTCTTTATTTTGAGATTAATGTAGGAAACTAATACTGATCATTTGTTTTGGTATTTTAGTTACTGTATTTTAATAACGATACAAGCCATTTTTTCTTGGTATTCATTATTTGCTATTGTTCCTCGCTTAGGTTACTACGCCTGGAGGCGAACAAGTGGATCATGGTTTATTGAATCATTGTGTAGAGTTTTGAACTGCAAAGAAACAAGGTGTAAATCCCTGATCAATGCTTTAGTGCAAGTCTGCCGCCGGGTAGCTCAAAATTATGAATCTAACACTCCCAGGCTTCCAGAAATGCATGAGAGGAAAGAAATGCCTGTTATTCAGTCCATGTTAGTGAAAGACATTGTTATGACGAAGAAAGCAAAAAATCTTAGTCTCAAATTTATTTGATCCTGTTACAAGTGCTGCTATTTTTTCCCTCACAACAAATTATTTTGGGTACGTTTAAATTTTATGACATAAAAAACGGATTGCATCTTGTGTTGAATATATAACAATCACAGAAATAACTACAGCTGCAGTTAGAATGTTGAAATGCACCTGAATAAGATGATTTGTAACTTATATCAGTACCGGTACATCATCAGACTTATGATTCATTCTTTCTGTGCTATTTAATGCTCTATTTGCAATTTATAACAAATTAAATATCATTTATATGTTATTGTTTCTACTTGTTGATTATTCACCTTAAGGTCAAGGCTATTTGGTACATGTTTGTTCAGCTCAGGCGGTACCCCGGTAGTTAAAATCTTCAATGTTATCAGATTTTACTACTAGTTGGGGTGTTCGCAAATTATGTAATGCAAAAAATGATCTTTTCAGACCCCCCCACCCCCTGCCACAAAATGTCACAAATTCTTTACCCTCCTCCTAGTGTCACATCACACCTAAAAAAAAAAAAAAATCAAAACATATATAAAATTTTCATAACTAAACTAAGATTTGATTTTATTCTTAAAAATTTTCCCCAAATGAAATAAGACGTAGTATTATTACGAAATTGTGACATAAAACAAAGAAGTCATCCCAGAGCTACTTGTAAAATGGCCTCAACAGTTTTTGCGTCATTTTTTGATAGGCGCAGAAGGTGTGAGCGACTGATTTTCACAGTAATTATAATACCTGAGGCAATTTCGACCTAAATTAATGTTTTTAAAATTAATTGAATAACGATTTTTCAAAATTAAAAAAAATTTAGATTTAAATAAGAAACAAACAAATTTGTGACGTCACAAATTTTTTACACCCCTCCCCCATCACAAAGTGTCACAAATTCTCGACCCCCCTCCCCCTGAGTGTGATGTAATTTGGGAACGACCCCTTTCTAATAATAATACAATTTGAATAATCCTGCTTTCCTCTAACTCCAGTGTGGGCACAACAACATTGCTCTCAATGCTCAGTGTCTTATACTTATATGCACAACAACACTACTCTCAATGCTCTGTATCTGATGTTCTAATAAACCATTGGTTGATAAAATAATCTACTGGTCTTACAATGCTTGTTATAGTTTCCTACAACACTCTTACACTATATTGTTTGTTATAGTGTCATTCAAACACTCCTACACTATACTGCTTGTTATAGTGTCATTCAAACACACCTGCATCATTCATCTAGGTTAACTAGGGTTAAGTTCACAATTTTATTTTAAATGAGATTATTTTAAAATGTTAACCAACCAATTTATTTTTTAGTTTTTACTCCTGCTCTAATCCCCCCCCCAATTTTATTTTAAATTAGATTATTTTTAAATTTTAACCAACCAATTTTTTTTTTTGTTTTTTCCCCCGCCCTAATCCCCCCCCCCCCACCCCTGTCTTATTTTTTTCCTTCTCAACCTTTAGTACCAGTACTTAGAGCTTTGCATGCCAGATTTGTAAACCATTATTAAATCTGCACTTCGAAAATTTTTCAAATTTTTTTAATTATTGGAATTTATACACCTTAAAAGATTTTGAGTTTAAAGGAATTATTAATATCCCATTTATCTGCATGCTATCTACCATAAAATTAACATCTAAATAAAATAATGTTTGATATTTATTCAATTTAGTTTTAGTTTTGTAGATTATAGCCTTTGCTCTTTTTCATTTATGTGAATTTGAAATTGTTTTAGCAATGATGACTAGGAAACTAGAAATTAGACCACATTTTTTGGTCAAACCTTTTATGTATGTCTCTGGTACTTAGAAATTATTGTACAGGAAGGCCTCACGTCTTAACACTTCATAAAATAATTTTTCCTCTATAGGTTTGGAATCTCCTTTACAATTTCTATTTCTGATTGAATATTTTACGATAACTACACATAACGATAAACTTTTTTTTTGCATAATAATATTTTTATGATATTTTAAAATTTAATGTTTGTAGCTTTTTAACTTTTTTTTTTTTTTTTTTTTAACTACCAATCAAATATTCCGGTTTGTATAGTTTAAAGCCTTTTAAATGTCAGTTTCTATATTTAATTAAACGATAAACTTTTTTTTTGCATAATAATATTTTTATGATATTTTAAAATTTAATGTTTGTAGCTTTTTAACTTTTTTTTTTTTTTTTTAACTACCAATCAAATATTCCGGTTTGTATAGTTTAAAGCCTATTAAATGTCAGTTTCTATATTTAATTAACTGATAAAACAAACTTTCTGAATGAGCCATTTTTATATGATAATTTATTGTTGCTGATTGATTTTACTTGTATCGCATGTGACCATGTAGAAGAAACTCTGATATTTTTCAAGTACAAGTAGCCTACCATATTTACAGTTTCACTCAAACTATAAAAATGTTTTCTTCAAGGGCTTTTGTTTTGAAAAGCCAAAACTAATAGGTTTTTAAAATCATTTCAAGTAAAAGCTTTGAATTCATTTTTATATGTTAAATTCTATCAGTTTTTTTTAATATTACCCATACCACTATCAATATATTACATTATTTTTTAATTTAAGCAAAATTTTGTAAATGTAGTTTTTCTTAAATTTACCTCGGTACCCTTGATGTTTCTTGTTTGTTCACATTTACAATTTACTGGTATTCTAACTTTTATGACATGTAAGAAGCATGTACATTACAGATATAAAAAAACAAACATCTATGTCTTCAACTTCAAATGGAAAGTTTCAGTCCACACAAAATAATGTATGAATATCTGATCTATTTACAAGTTGACCACTCTCTCTTTTCTACTTAACCTTATTGATGAAAGAATTGATAGTGCTCAGTTTATGTTCAAGGAGAATTCAGATACATTTCTACAGCAGAAAAAATATGATGTAGTTTGAAGAAATAGCTTGTAAATACGGTAATAATTGGGATTATAACAATGTGACTATGCATGAATAATAATCTTTTCACTGTTGAAATATGATATTATTGTAACACTTCTAATGCAACTGGCGCGCAATTTTTTTCTGTTGAGATATGATGTTAACACTCCTGATGTAACTGGTGCTAGCACTTTATACCGGTACAAGTATAAGTATTATTTTTCTCAAAAGTATAATATCTCCTACTCCTATTAATACTTTTACTTCCACTTACCTTCCTTTAGTGGCGTTTTAGATTACCATTATTTACAAAAATTCAGTTTGTTGAACAATCTGTTGGTGAAATTATTGAAACGATGAGAGACATTTTGAAATCAATAGTTATAAAAGGCAGCTAATCTCACACTTTTATGAGCTAACAGCATGCAGGACAATAATTTCATTTAACTTTAATGATCTAACTAATTGTACCAGTAATACTGAGTCTCACTAGATTGTACCGGTATACTGAGTCTAACTAGATTGTACCAGTAAATACGGTCATTGATCAAATTCAATGACAAAATTAAAAAGCACCTTTCTTAGCCAAAATAATTTCCTTTTCATAGTTGATTTCTTTATAGCATATCCACGTTGTTCATCATTATTATAACAGTACAAGTAATACAATGTCAACAGTAGAGAGCTCTTATAGGAAATGAACATACAAGGTTGGTATTCCAGCCCTTATCGAGACCCGGCTTGCAGGAGAGGGCAAACTCTGCAAAAGGGGCTCAAGATATACCTGCTTTTAGAGTGGTCTAGTAAGCAAAGAACGTCGTGAAGCTGGTTTTGCTATCAAATCTGAAGTGATTTTTGTTGTCATCAGCAACGAGTCATGTGCGAAGTTTCAGCTCGATAAGATGACGGGAAGTGGGTAAGTTAGCTTTGCAAAGATTTTGCCACAAACACAGAATTTGAGAAAGAAACATGAACAAAAGCGAAGTTAATATAAAGGATTTAAAAATAATTGAACACTTGGTTGAACATTTTGACAACATCCTTAATCGCCCTTCATCCGTTAATGATGAAGCAATAAATCGACTCACAGCTGCTCATCAATCAAGAAATGGAAGATCCCTCTCCCCAAACAACCATAAACAAGTTGGAACCAGCTATATGCCTTCTTTTTAGTGGCAAAGCTTCATTTGATGACACCATTCCAGCTGAAATATACAAGGAGGCGGTCCAGCTCTGACTGAAAGGCTTGACGCGCAAGGAAGGTGGTCCAGCTCTGACTGAAAGGCTTGACACGCACGGAAGGCGGTCCAGCGCTGACTGAAAGGCTTGACGAGCCGCCCCTGCTTATGTGGCAGCAAGAGAAAACCTGACCAAGGCTTTCGACATTGTCAGTAAAAAGGGGTTCTCTGGAAGATCATGGCCAAATATGGATGCCCCAGAACTTTCATTTCAGTGGTGCATCAATTCTTTTATAGATAGGCTATGGCCGGGAAAATGTCTCAACCATTCCCTGTATCCAATGGCATCAAACAAGGTTGCATCCTGGCACAACCCCTTATCAGCATCATGATCTCCATCGTCTGTCTGATTCTTTCAATGGGGAGACATTGGAATGGGCATCAAATACTGAACTGATGATAAGTATTATCCTCAGGGGACTACACGCTAAATCTTAGAGCATGGCAGAAATTATCAGGGACTTTCTGTATGCCGACGACAGTGCCATAAACGATGAATCAGGTAGCATTATGCAAAGCAGTTTTGCAAACTTCTTGGATGCATGTAGTAAAGTAAATGATATTCGGATGTTATTTGTGGTAGTTTATTTTAATTTAAATGAATAATTAAGTTTACAAACATATAGTCCATTCAATTATCTTTCATTGGATACCACATTTTGTCTTACAAAACCAACAATAATATTTTAAATAGTTTTTTAATCCCAACCTCTCACTTCTGGTACCCGGTTACGAATAGTGGCAGCCATTTAAAAAAGTGGTTAACTTAAAAAAACATGTTTTAACATTACACTTTACACCCACTCCATTTTGAAGTACATTTCCTATAATACCAGAGCTTTGGTGGGCTCAGGTAAGTGAACCACCCCCTCCCCCCCCCCCCCCCCCCGCCACAAGTAAGGAAATAAAATGCGTTTTATTTGAGATACGACCAGAGAAATACTAAGAAATGCTTTGTTCCTTAGAAGTACCTTGCCAAAAATGCGTGGGAACTTACCCTAGCCTATATATCCCTTCCAATACACAAAATACAAATTATGTTATTAAATTTCGTAGCAAAAAAAAAAAATCCAGTTAAAGTTAAGTTAGTGGACAGTGGAACATCATTCCCATGGTTTCCTGCACGACTCGTGCCGCACGCACAATAAATCTACAAGTACTTCTTTTGATAAATCTTGCAGGTATTTAAAGGAATTTAAAAAACAACTAATTTTATTAAGAGTATAGTATTAATTTTACAAGTACCACCGGTCAGGCCAAAGAGTTTAAGTTTAAGACTGACCAAGACCATGGTTTCGCTACGTGTGCCACTGCGGTGGACGCAGGTTAAAAAGCTACTTTGTTTGCTAGGTACACCACCGCGGTATACGTAGATCAAAGTCCATGGTTTTGCTAGGTACACCGCCGCGATATACGTAGAGCGGGTCAACTAAAAATATCGTTAAAAGATGGCTGGACTTCAGTGACTGTATAATGTATATTCTTTGAGCTCATTCAGGTTTTATTCTTGTTTTGAAAAAAACCTCTATAATAATAAATATAAAATGAGGGCTAAAGTTAGCTATATATTAGTTTGGCCTAATTTTATAGCCTACTTCATATAACTAATAAAATAGATAGGCTTAGATTAGGCTTCAAACTAGCTAACTAGGGCTTCGGCTTAGGCTTAGGCTTACTTTTACTAAGGACAGATCAAGCCACTTTTTACTTGCTACTTTAACTTTTATTTTTAACTTTACCCAGTATTCTCAAAGTTGATGGCAATGGTTTTGTTTGATTTTTTCTACATCACAACTTTTAGACCTTAAAAATAAAGGACAGGGCCTAGCTTAGACTCAGACCTGTTTACTCTTACGATTTTGGGTACAATGTACGATTTTGAGGTTATAAATTATATATACTACATGCTTATTTTTTACTATTAAGATAATGTATTGAACAATTTTGTGATGATATTGTACGATTTTAAGAGTTTGAGTGTAAACAGGTCTGTAGACTTAGACAAATTATAATTTTTTGTAATACATTATAATACAATATTACTATTAATTATTAATAATAATATTACTACTACTCACAGACTACTGACTACTGCTTGTATTATTAGTTAGAGCTGTCGAATAGGCACTGGAACCGCTGGGGCAGGGGCTTCGGATATTTAACTTTTTAAGGTCCTAAGCCCAAAGTTGTGATATGGCATGGAATGGAAAAAAAAATGTTTTGAATGCAGGGGGTCCAAAACCAAACAGAAACAGTAGCAAGGGGCCTCAAAAAGTCATGTGACGGCTCAGCTACTACTACTAGTTGAGCTGGTAAAGTCCTAGGTCAGGTAGTTAAAGCCTGCTTACCATCCAAAATACATTTTTCAAGTCCTTTATGAACGACACACTAATTAATAACCACTAGTCCTATTAGTATTAACTATAGACTATAGTGTAGGGACCTCGGTATTGACCGGAAATACCTAAAAAACGGGTATCGTAATTTCGTTGTCAAAATGGCTACCTCCACTTTTTAATTTACTGAGGGTATCATTGTTTCGCCTTTTATAGTCGATTATATGCACAATAATAAATTCTACGTCTGCCAAATACTTAAAGCCGACATCTTGCTTGTTGTATAGAGAGTTCGTTTGATTTTTTTTTTCAAGGCTAAAGCTTTTAAAATTGAAATTAAAAATAGGGAAACTTCACTCATCAATAACTTTTAAAAAAAAAAATGGTTTCTTTAATTAAAAAGGGTTTCTTTAAGTTATAGGGTCATTTATAACATATCCAAAATTCATGAGTGTAGACCATCGGCAGGCTTCAAAAACTAAAATCTAAGAGGTCATGTTTTTAGGCTATGTAATTTGTCATCATGGCCACCATGCTTGTCTGCTTATTTGATAGCAGCCGTGGGGTAGTTAAAAATTCATTAAATTTGTTTTACAGAATATAAATGTGAAATATAAATATTAATAAATCAGTTAAATAAATAAAACAATGTTTTATAACATAAACAATTATTATTGGCTTATGAAATATCAGTGTTTTTAAAATTTAGGGGTTGTTTGCCATGGACTTGGGATTGATAATCACTTGTATTTGATTTTGATTTAGAATAGGCTTAGTTAAAATATAATATTATAATAGTAGTAATGATTTGGTGAGTGCGATAAATAGCTTAATAAATAATACATTATATTAGTTTATATATTATTATATGAAAATATATAGGCCTATATATTATATATATATATATATCTTTATATGTATATATATATATATATATATATATATATATATATCTCTTTATATATATATATATATATATATATAATATATATATATATATAATATATATATATATATATATCTTTATATGTATATATATATATATATATATATATATATATATATCTCTTTATATGTATATATATATATTTATTTAATATATATATATATAGAATATAGGCCTATGAGCTCAGCATAATATATAGTATAGTCCTAACTCCAACCAAATTTATTATTTGTAGGGCTTATTGTAAAAAGGTATATGTAATGAAATTTTACGCTATATAATCATATTATGATTCTGAAGGCATAAAATAAGTAAAAATGTAAAAAATGTTCACTTACCTTTGGTATTGAAATTTCCTATATTTAATCACATATCACAAATATTCCACAAGAAAGAGAATTATAGTATAATCCTAATTATTTGCTTAGAAAAAACACACTTTCTGCAACAATAATCAAGGATTTCTTAAGATATTATTAAAGAACAATCATACAAACTTGTACTTACCTCAAGGAAATGACTATAAATTATTTTAATTTTTATCAACCGCAAAAGTTTTAATCTTACAATTCATGTTGATTTGTGAAGCAACATATGACTAACTTAAAATAAATGACATACTAATTTTTTGTCATATTCATGTAGGACTAAAATACATTTATAGAAAATGGTAAAATAAAATGTGTACGGGTAATCATCAATTTTAACTAAATGAAACAAATAATCAATTTATTATTTATTTATACTTATAAATGTTAAACAATTCCTCTGAAAATGTAAAATTAATATGTCAAGAATATTATGATTATAAGTTTTGGGAAATTTAAAAAAAAAATATTTAAACATTTTTAATAGGAAAAAAATATTTTTTTTCCCTAAATTTTTGTGGCATATTAACAAAAGCTAACTTACATTTTGTCGCTTTATTTAGAAGTACTCTTAGTTAACTATGTTCCCTGTAAGTATTAAATTTTGGTCTCATTTTATAATAAAGTGATAGGCATTTATTGAAAGGCAAAATGAGGTTCAAAAATGTGGAGGAAAATCACATAGTGAAAAAGTGGTTTTGAGGTCCCTACAAAAAATTCATAACTTTTTATCCACTTGAGCTAGAAAGTTGATCTTGGTGTTTTTGTAATCTATTCTCCAGGCTCTATACAGCTGTAGTATTGTTATATTTTTAAAAATGTTTTGAAATTTTCATCAAAGTACCTACTATAGTGTCTATAAGCCAGATAATATCTAATACTGTCTAGGCCAGGGGTCGGGAACCTTTTTGTCTGACAGAGCCATGGACACCACATATTTTGAAAAGTAATTCTGTGAGAGCCATACATTATATTTAAAACTAAAAATTCAAGTAAATGTGTGCATTTTGTGTAATTTCAACACTAAAAATGCAATAATTATGTCTCTGAATTCTTTTTAATAACATTGTTATGCTGTTTCTAATCAATAATGAGTATTTCTTACCATTAATGCGACTTTTTTTTATTAATCGAACATATGTCTGCGAGCCAGATCCAGCCATCAATAGAGTCACATCTTGCTCGTGAGCCATAGGTTCCCGACCCCAGGTCTAGGCCTATAGTATAAAAGGCCTATTTTATTCTATAACAGTGGTTTCCATATATGTACTTGTAGCAGAGCCCTAAGCCTAAGCATGCACGTCTATTGGGCTCTTCTGCCACTACCCCCCTCCCCTCTAACTACTCCTAAAGATAATAAACTTGTAAAACATCATAAGGTGATTTTGAAAGGAAAAGGTTTCCAGAACTCAAAAAGGTTGGGAACCACTGGTCTATAGGCTACATACCTACATTTTACAAGTTGTAGTAACACATAATTCATAATTAAAATACAGAGTAAAAAGACTTGTGAGACAGGTGGAACATATTTCAACAACCTACTGTCGACATGGACATACCAAATGAGAAAGAGCAAGCTGTAGATGGTAAACATGACAATTCTCTTAATACTTATAGAATTCTTTGTCTCTAAAAGGGGCTGGCAATTTTTAGGACAATAATTAAAGATATATGGATAATTACTTTTAACACAGTTAATATATATTCGCATTTAGATCGCAACATTAGAAAAGTTGCACCATTAGTTATGATGAGTTATCAAAGTGGATATTTGTGGTTGACTTGAAGATAGGTCACACCATAAATTTGGGTTGGTACAAGGCCCATTTTAATGTACATATAAATAATATTTGTTAAACAGACGTAGAAACAAAAATGTTTCCATAATAACTTAAAAACTGAAAAGCCAGCATGAACTATTTGATATTTTATTAAACATAAAAATGGCTTGCCCTATGCTTGTGCAATGGTAAAAAATGGTCCTATGACTTTTTGTATAAATGAACACTTCACATCAGAAAACAGTAAATTTTATCAAAATTTTGGTTAAAAAATACGTATATGCTGCAAGTGTATGTTAGAGACAAAAAAGTAAGTAGGCCAATTTTATCCTTTGAAAGGAAGCAATATTTTGGAGTTATGTCCTAAAAATCATTTGTGAAAAGCACTTTGGTTGAGACAGAATATATAATAATTAAGCAACTAAATGTGGAGGTGAGAGAAAGAAGCTCCTATAAATTTTAAATTCTTTGAATTTAATTTCTCAAACAATAAGAATATTAAAAATTTTAATAAAATTTCTATAAGTTAAGTATAAGTATATATTGGTGAATTTTAGCCACAATTATTTTTTTGCCTGGCAGAATTGGATGGCTTCAAAAAAGATGTCAAAGATAAATTCAAGAAACTCTTTTGTATTTCGGGGTAAGGATTTATGATTATTTTTGTTTCAAATGGAAGAGAATTTTAAAAAGTTGATAGCATGAAATACTTTGAATTATTCTGTAGGAGTAGTCATTGTCTTAACAAGTCTACAAGATAAATATACTGCTTTCTGTATCTGGCTGCTGTCTAAATAGACATTAATATTCATATGTAAAATAATTTGCTGTACCGTTTTCATGGATTGTAAACGTGCACCACAGAATTATGTGAGGGCATGTTTTGGTATTATACTTTTGTTTTTATAATGCGCCTTTTTTTCTCAACTTCTGTTTTTAACGATAATATAGAGCGCTTCCTGCTCTACATTGAGAATGTTGAGCTACCTTGACATTATTGAGATGTTGAAAAACATTAAGTTTTATATTTGATTTCAATTCATCTGTTGTTAATATTGAAATTTCCGTCGAGGAAGGCATCTAGCCAATTCATCAGTTTAATTGTTCTGACTTTTTTTCAAGCCTACACTAATAATAATAATAAAGTTAATTTAAAAAACATGCTTCATCCCCAAAAGCTCGAAGTGCGGTACAAAATCAACCATATTAAAAAGAGAAATAAAAAACAATCTAAAATTTACCCCATTTAAAAAACAGACGCAACAATATAAAACTACATACGAGCATACAAGTCAAAGTCTTTCATCCCATTTCAACCATAAGAAACACAAGCCAATATACCTTAACTGGAAAAAGATGGTAGATAGCATCACACCAGAAAGTGTTTGCGAAATAGCTGTGTTTTAAATCAGTTTTAAAGGAGTCCAGTGTCTGGCTGTTTCTGAGAGCGACTGGAAGTGCGTTCCAAATTGTTGGGCCAGCAAATGCAAAAGTGCGCTTTCCGTAAGTCTCATGGCGAACACACGATATCAATATTTTGCCACTATCTGATGAGTGGAGCTGTCCAGTGTGTACATAAGGCATCATGAGTGCTTTGAGATAGAACGGCGCCAGGTCATGTAAGCAGCGGTAGCACAAAGTTGCAATTTAGTACTCTATGTGAACACAGAACGGCAGCCAGTGCAGCTCTCTCAGAAGTGTTTTAGCATGGTCGAATTTGCATTTGCAAAGAACAATGCGAGCTGTATTATTCTGTGCTCTTTGAATTTTATCCAGGAGCGTAGCTGGGAGACTCACAATGAGAGCAATGCAGTAGTCCATGCGTGATAACACAATTGCAGACAGCAGCCTCTTTGATGCTTCGAACGTTAAGAAAAGTCGGATATGACTAATCCTGCGCAGCTCTAGAAAAATCGCCTTGTAAAGCATGTTAATGTGATTTTCCATAGTTAGTGATCTGTCTAAGTAGACACCCAGGTTTTGCACTGTTTGAGCAAACTCAATCTGCATACCTGAGAGAGTAACTGATGTTGTGTTTTTTTACAGATTTTTGTTTCTGAGCAATGGCAATGGGGATCAGCTTAGTCTTTTCATCATTCAATTTGAGCTTGTTTATGGTCATCCAGTGTTTAATTGACTGGACTGTCTTCTGTGTCGTACTAAGAAGTTGATCATGGATTGATGAAGTTTTGTATCGTCCGCGAACATGTGATACAGCATGTCAAACTGTTTGATCACTGCACCCAGTGGCTGAACGTACATAGTGAAAAGCACCGGGCCTAGGACCGAGCCCTGGGGTACTCCGAATTCAATTATAGATTGCTTCGAGGTCAAGCCTCTTTACTTCATCTGGCTTGAAGGCAGTCTCTTATGTACATGATTATAGATTTTACCATGGTGGGAGTGTGCATCTAACATATTTGGGGGTTGGGATCCAAAGGACACAACTGTTTATTAAATACTACAGATTTAAAAAAAATTTCCCAATCCAGTCCTGTACCCCATGTACACAAAATAGACATAATAATAGTTTGAGCTTCTTTGTGCTCTGTACACTTGCTTACAAAATAAGTAATCTTTATATAGTTTCTTAAGTCCTGTTTGAAATACTCCATCAGTCCTCTCTATACCTTTCTGGGACATCTCTAGTGTTTAGGTTCACTCTGTCTACCTTTAACTTCACTGACTAATCTCTCCTGTGTTCACTGAATAATCTCTCCTGTGTTCACAGACTAATCTCTCCTGTGTTCACTGACTTATCTCGCCTGTGTTCACTGACTAAAATCTGCTGTGTTCACCAACTAATCTCTCATGTGTTTTGCTAGCTAATCTCTCCAGTGTTCCCTGAATAATCTCTCCTGTGTTCACTGACTAATCTCTCCTGCGTTCACTGACTAATCTCGCCTGTGTTCACTGACTAATCTCTCCTGTGTTCACTTTAATTATTCTGTGTAATCCTCTACATTTATTTAGTTCAACCAACATCACCCAAGAAGATCTTATGTTCACTGATTGTCCCTCTATACCTTTGAGAATTAACTATACACATCCAGTTGCCTGTTTCGTCTTTTCAATATCAGCATATAAAATATTAGAAATAATAAACATGATAATTTTTAAAATAAAAGTAATGAAATTTGTCATTTTAAAAAAAAACTCTCAGCATATAGAACATTTGAAATAATAAACATGATATTTTTGTTATTAAATTAATGAAATATTTCATTTTCTCCAGAAAGAGCAAGTCATTTGAGACCCCACGGACAGAGTCTTTCAAGGAGTTTTCAGAAACTAAAACTGCTTTAGTGTCCTCTAAACACAGCGACCATCCAGAAGTTCACAAAACTAAAACAGCTTCAGCGCCAGCACCTTACAAATCTAAAGACCAGAACCATGAAAACACAGACATTTATAATTTTAATTACCCTAAACGGGGTCTAGCCATAATTATAAATAATGAAGATTTCAGTAAAACTAAAGATTTCAGTGATAGACCTGGGTCATCAAGAGATGCGGAGACACTCTACGACACCTTCACTCGCTTGAGTTTCGATGTGGTTACATACAGAGACCTAACTGCTAAACAGATGCAAGCTCTCCTTCAGTTAGGTGAAGTGATTCATTTCATCTATGCCATGTTCCATTAAAGTGCTTCTCTAATTTCTTTTTGACTCTGCTTTATTGAGGTCAAAGTAACCGCAGTGTAACAGGTGAAGCATGTCTTCTTGAAGCTCGTTTTCTTTCGTCATATTATTTCAAGTATTTCACAATTGTAGATATTGCCTGTAATTGTCTATTATTTTATTAAATAGTTGGGGCTCGTTCATACCTTTATATGATTTTGAAAATTTAATCTGTGTTAAGATTTGGCTTGTTAAATAAACAATTTGTAACTAAGAATTGAAAAAAAAAAACAGTATGCAAAGAAAAAGGATACCAAAGCTAGTAATACCAACAATATTTAATTTAATAATACTATTTCTGTAATAATAAACATTATAATAATAACATTTCTGTAAAAATACAAATTCAGATATACAGAAAAAAAAATCTATATGAACATACACCACAGTAGGTGAAAATGTACAATCCTCAAAAGATACAAATATGTATTTACACACACATAAAGAATACAATCTCACAAGTATATTATGTCTTGTAAATTTCTAGTAATATTAGCAAAAAATCTTTCTCTGCTAGGAAAGCTGCCGGCCTATAAATATGGATTAAATCAGAACCATCCAGAAAAGAAATTGTAAATTTATATTACTAAAAGATTCTTAAAATTCTTGAAAACTGTTATGTTGGTCGCATGCTTTCATCTTTTTTTTTCTTTTATCTAGGATGCTCCATGAACCCGTAGGGTGTTGCAAAACTTTGTAACCACCGTAGAAGATGTTAGCTGTTGATAGTATTGTGCAGTGTTCTTGTTTTGACTTGATTGACAGACATTAAAAAAAAGTTAAAACATACAAAAGCAAAAGCTGTTTCAGACTTTCACAGTTTTGTAAAATCTTCAAATGTTGAATTTCATTAGACTTATATTTATCTGTCTTTTAGCTACTAAAAAATATGATCACTCCAATGCGGATTGCTTTGTTTGTACCGTATTGACTCACGGAGATCAAACCTGGGTAGAGCGGGAGTACAAGAGGACTCGGATAAAAGAGAGGCGGGATTTGCTCTTTGGTGTTGATGGGGAAGCCGTGCCTACAAAGTTGGTCATAGAATCTTTTAATGACGACAACTGCCCTGGCCTTGCAGGAAAACCACGTTTATTTTTTTTCCAGGTAAGTTATAAGTGTTTTGATCTTATTGTTAGACACAGAATTGTACAATGACAGTATCAATCATCTTTTATCAATGACAATTTAACTAGACACAGAACTGTACAATAACAGTATCAATCATCTTTTATCAATGACAATTTAACTCGACACAGAATTGTACAAAAACGTTTCAATCAGCTAATCAAGCTTGCTGCTGATAACAAATTTCTCTCAATTTGCAAGGCTTGCAGGGGTACAAAACTTGATGACGGTCTTGATATCAATGTGACGGTGTCACGTACAAACAACATTAAAATAGGCCTGGGCGAAGATGGCACAGATCATTCAAGTAGCACAGATAAACCTGGAGAACCTTTTTCCAGCAGTGTTGACCCACCCAAGTATCATCAAAAACTAGGAATGGATCATGATAGGACAGATGCAAAGCCCAGTGTTCAGGAGCAAAGTAGTGGACAGGATGAAACAGAATACTCATCTTTCAGGCTTCGGGATCTGCCCACAAGCCCTGCTCCTCTGTACAAAGATTGCCTTGTCATGTATGCCACTCCTCCAGGTAAAACAGATACCGGTATTTAGAGCATGTTAAGATAGTTTAACTTTGCCATCACCATCAGATTATGGCTTTCTGGAATATTGGTTTCAACATAGATGAACAGCAAGCCAATTCTGTATTCTGATGTCCAGCCTTAAACTTAAACCCAAATATACGAAATATTATATTTATTTTAACTTTTTGCATCACTCCTAAGTAGCTGTCCTTGACTAAGAGAGTTAGTATTTGGATCCAACCTTTTATCTGAAATCTAATGACAGAGTGCAAGTTTTGTCATCTAGAACCGAAATATGTAATAATAACTATTCCTATATTCTCATTGGATTGAAATAAAATAAGTTAGAATCAAGAAGTAAAAGTCATCAAGCAGATACATACTGATGTTCACAAAGCCTTGATGTTAAACTACATTGTGACCAATTTATCTTTGGATGTCATGACATTAGAGATATTAGACTACATTGTGACCAATTTATCTTTGGATGTCATGACATTAGAGATGTTAGACTACATTGTGACCAATTTATCTTTGGATGTCATGACATTAGAGAGGGTAGACTACATTGTGACCAATTTATCTTTGGATGTCATGACATTAGAGATGTTAGACTATATTGTGACCAATTTATCTTTGGATGTCATGACATTAGAGGTGGTAGACTACATTGTGACCAATTTATCTTTGGATGTCATGACATTAGATGTGGTAGACTACATTGTGACCAATTTATCTTTGGATGTCATGACATTAGAGAGGGTAGACTACATTGTGACCAATTTATCTTTGGATGTCATGACATTAGAGATATTCTGATAGTGTAACAAAATGAGCATCTACTTGTTGATGGCAGGTGAACTCCATCGTAACTGACGTAACTTTCAGAAAAAATAGTTTCAATTTGCATCCACTATAAATGAAAAATGCCATTTAGTGTGTTTAATTTAACTCTACATGGTTTTGGGTCTTAAGCTGGTAGAGTGTAAAACAATAGTATTTATAAATATATATTATATATGTATAAACATAAGAATAAAAATACAGTGGAACCTCTCATAACAAGTTTAATTCGTTCCAGACTCTTACTCGTTAAGTGAAACACTCGTTAAACGAAACAATTTTCCAATACAAATCAATGTAAAATATGATAATGCGTTCCATGCTGAAAAAATACTTATTTTTCAAAAAATTGTATTAACATTATTCAAATAAAATTACTTATGAATTGTTAAGGAGTGTAACAACTTGGAATGCAATTTAGATTTGAAACAAAAAACGTAAATAAAAATATGTATTTATGACAAATACTTAATCCTTTTTAACTAGAAAACTGTCTAACGACATTTGTTTTTGCAGACGCTTCAAAATTTGACGAAAATGTGTCACAGCATTATCATTGAATAAATTTGTAGCTCGAATAGCCACCTCCTTATTAGGGTAATGCTTCACAATGTACGATGCAACAGTTTCCCTTCCCTTTAAAGCATCCATCTCCTTAATTTTGTTTTTGTTCTTGAGAATAGTGCAGATCGTTGATGTTGACCCATTGTATGTGCGCACTAGATTAGCCATTAGAACCTTGTTCTCGCTTTTCAATGATTTTACTTTTCATTTCAACGGTTAATTTTTTTCTCTCTTATGATTGTCTTCTTGTGGTTTTTTCTTCGAAGACATTTTATCCCAGGTTATTACACTTAGCACATAAAAGAATTACGAATACTGTCTGAATACAAAATTTGTAAAAACTGGTATTCACACACGAAAACAATACACTAACAGACGAAATCTCGGCTCACAAATGAATGTCAGGAAAAAGGGACTGCCCCTTTCTGCGTAACTCCTTATTCGAAATATCGCTCGTTAAGGGAGCAAATTCTTCACATTTTTTTTGCTTGTTATTTGAATTACTCGTTATGAGAGGTGCTCGTTATGAGAGGTTCCACTGTAATACATTTTGGAATTGAGACTGATGAAAAACACGAAGAAGCCATCATTATGTGCATTACAATTGTTTTTGTTTACTTCAAATAACATGAAAGTAACCCCCCCAAAAATCATCCAGAGAAAGCTGTGTATACTCATGTAATTATTTATTAACATCGAGGGTTTTAAAAATGATTATTATGTGAGTAAAAGACTTAAAAACTAATAAATATACAATATAATGTAGAAGACAGGTAGTCTCTTCTCGTGTCTATTTCTAATGAACATTTACAAAAATAGATGTCTGTCGCTTGGAAAGAAATATGTTGTCACCTTGTATTCTTCATGCATCTGCTCTTAATGTCAATGAACAAGTTTGCTTTAGTGAGCCGTCTGGTAACTGGTATTAAATATTATCTCTGATGATCTAAAAATAGATTTCAACTGCTGCTACACCGTATAAAAAATTAAAATCTGACTTTTTTATGTGGAACTGTTTTGAAGACATTTTGTAAGAACATAAACTGGTGACCTAATTTTTCAATGGTGACGTCGGTTTATTACTTTTTTCGTCAGTGTTTTCTATAATTGAATGAATTTACTTAGAGAAAATGATAAAAATCTCTCATGACCCATGTAAAAACCGACCACTCCACCCTTTAGCCTTGTAATATTCCCCAAAAAATTCAGCTTTTTGTCAATTATATACAACACATCTCAAACTATTGAAATTTTCACAGCGCAGAATTCGTAAAAAAAAGAAACAAATCAATGGATCATGTTATATTAAAAAAGAGATGAAGAAATATAGAAATATAAGATGACCCCTAATGACTGGTACTTTGCTGTTATGGTACAAATTAGTTAAAATCCTATAATAAAAATACCTGACCATAAATTATATTATCTGGATGGCATTTTCTGATAACCCAAGGATGATCTAACTATTCATGATTATAGGTCACTTAGACTGATTACTGTTAATTAAATTGGTTCAACCCAACTCTCTAAAAATGTACACACACTGTTTTTAACCACATTTTGAACAGATGCATCATAAATAAATTGTCCTATAAATAAATTTTATCTTGTCCAATGCATACATTTTAATATTTCCATTACCGTTTAACTTGTTAAATGCATACCTTTCAACTCGTCCTATGCATAACTTTAAATTTATCCAATACGTATTTAAAACTAGAATTTTTTGCTCCATCAAACCAAGGCTTTCTTTCATGGCGTCGAGAAAACGGTTCGTGGTTTATTCAGTCTCTGTGTAAAGTGTTAGACAGCGCCGGCATCAGATCTGGCACAATGCCTTTGGTCAAGGCTTTGGCTCAAGTCTCAGGATACGTTGGCAAATATTATGAGTCGTATTTGCCAGAAGAGCCAGACCAACACGCCAAGAAGGAATCTCCCGTGTTATATTCAATGCTGATCAAAGACGTTTTTCTCAAAAAGAAGTCGGAAGAGTCAACCCAGAACTTTTTTTTTGCAAAGAGTTCGTCATGATTAATTCAATGCATGGCTTAATTTATCAAAGGTTGGATCCTAGGTTTTATAAAAGTAAAATAAAATAAATGGTTTACCATTTAAGGACATTTAAGTTTAAGGCATAAGTCAAAATTTCATTTAATAATCTAGTATAAAATTCAAATTAATTAAAATTATTTTAAATTTTAGAAAACATTCTAAAAATCATATTGTGATCTTTCTCGTCTTACCCATTTCAGGTCATTTTGCTTGGAGAAGAAAAACTGGGGCTTGGTTTGTTCAATCTCTTTGTATGATTCTAAATAATTCTGGAATTGGTCAGTGGTCTTTGGTCAAAGCTTTGGTTCTGGTCAACAAAAATGTTGCTTTGTTCTATCAGTCTGACAACCCCAATAGACCCAGCATGGACATGAAGAAAGAGATGCCTGTCTTCCAGACCATGCTGGTCAAGGACATCTACTTGACACCCAAACATTAATTTCATTGTTTTTAAAACCACACATTCTTCAGTCATTGGGGAAATTAATATAAATGATATAAATAACGAAAGAGAGTGAGAGAGAGAAGATAAAATTAATTCAAGTGATAAATAGATCAGTTATCCATGATATTTGATGCTTCCAATCTTTATCTAATATTATCTACATATGTTTATATAGTTTGGGATTATTTTCTGTTGCCTTTTTGAATAGGATATATTTGTCTTGAAGTTAGCCATTCTTTACTGCAAACACTGGATCTACTGCTTGTTTCCAAGATTTAAAGCAGACAATTTTAAAAATAAGGTGTTTCTAAAAAATTAAACCTTACACAAATAAGTTAAACCTTATACAAATACGTTCGTTATATTTGTATGCTTCAATTTTTTCCCTATTTCATGGTGTGCTCTTTTTCATTGTAAAACCATTGAGTTGATGTCAGTTTTTATACTAGAAGTGTTTTTTCAATTTTTAATTTTTTGATTAGACAACTTGGATATGCTTGTGAAAAGTTTACACTTAGAAACACTTAGAAGCTCAGGCCTTTCAACGCCTTTTTTTTATTAATTAAAAAATAAAAATTCTTTTTACATGGCTAGAATTAACAACAAAAGATTTCTTTGGACTTTTGGTCAAAGATTATTGATGTACGGTATCATGTTTGTTCTGCAATTGTTCGGGATGTGTTGATCTTCACTCTTCCACAACATTTTTTATTTGACCAGTTTTTACAGTTTTCATTTAGTTTTACAAAATACTAAAATAATTATTTTTAATCATGAATAAAGTAAAATAATATTTTTGCTCCGAAATCTACAATACTTTTAAAAAGGAATACTGTCAATAGATCCAGTTTATACATATTTGTACTGGAATTTTATTTATTGTTTGTTTTTAACAATGCCATGAAATGACTGTGTATGAAATCACTGTGTATATTATCAAACAAGTTGGGTTTTAACTTTGTTGGAAACCAAATTTTTTTTACAACGTTCTACAACTCTGTTGAGTGATGGGACCAATGGTTGAAGTGTTAAGTAATGGGACCAATGGTTGAAGTGATTTGAACATTTTGTAAACAATGTTACTTGTTGCATTTGTTGTTTTTATGGAAACACTTCTACAATTGGATTTCTTCTTTAATGATATAAAACTGAGTTTATACACACCATTTCTTTTACAACTTTAATTTACAACATTTTTGTTTGGTAATTTTTTATCTGCATCTTTCAAAGAAGAAAAAAAAATGATATTTTGAAGTAAATAGGCCTATAAGTTATTAATGTAGCAAGCGTTTAATGTTTCAGCTCTAGCAGCCATGGGTCTGTCATTTAAGTTTTAAGTGGACAAAAAAAAACTCACCCAAAATTTACATGAATAAAAATTAAAAAGAATAAATCAAACTGCTGATAGTGTAAATAAAAAATTGTGAGCTTGTAAATAACAAAGTTAAATGAATAGGAATAACCCACGCACTGTATGTTATGCAACATTTCAAAGTTTCAACTCTCTGTCTGCTATTACTTCTCACAAAGACACTGCCATCTAAGTGCCTATATTGATTCTATTACATCTTGTTGTTTTTGTTTTCCCACCATTTTTTATGTCTATCTGCCATTTAAATAATCTTAACAAAATATGTCACCAGGAGGGATATCCTTAAAATTAAGATTATAAAACTGGATAAAAGTACAAGCATATTTGGTTTTGACCTAATGACATTACTTGATTTCTGGGTATTTTGTTAGTGGTTATAGTTTTGGAATAAAGGAAGCTCTCAGTTCTGTACAACTTTTGTGTTGATAGGCATGATGGCACAGCTGTGTGCCCCAGCTCACATATCAACCTTGATATGCATGATGGCACAGCTGTGTGCCCCAACTCACACATCAATCCTGAAATGGCACAGTTGTGTGTCCTAGAGCACATATTGGTAACGCTGCTCAAATTGTGTTAGTTTGTTCCATCAGATTATTGGTGTACCATTTTTAAGTACACTAACCACATTTTAAAGTATTTCCTGTTTATAATGTATATTTAGTCGAATAAATTGCAGTGAATACAATTTTGGAGACATCATTATCTCATTGTTAGTCATATTTTTAAAAAATATTTATTATCACTCAATTTTATAATTTCTGAATAAAAAAATGATTTTGCTCATTAAAAAATTGGATTTGATACCATCATCTTTATTTGCAATTTTTATAGACTTTTTGATATTGTGTTTGGATTAGCAACATCTATTTGCATTATTGTTAATAGTTTATTTTTTGTTAAGAATTGTGAAAGTTAAGATAATATGACAAAAGCAAGAATTTATTTATTTGCATAAAATCATAGCTTTAATTTACTAAATATTCTTTTGTAAATTTGGAAACAAATATCTTGTCATATTAATTATTTCATGGTCTATTATTATGAAAGTGAATTTTTTTCAAATGATCATATATAAAGTACTGTACCCAACAGGACATGGGAAGGAAATGGTAGAACTGGATGTGTGAAAGGAAAAAAAACAGGACAGTTAAATGATTGCTTCAGCTAGTATCATGCATTGTCATCAGGAGACATTGTTTCAGCTATTATCATTCATTGTCATCAGGAGACATTGTTTCAGCTAGTATCATTCATTGTCATCAGGGGACAAAACAGCAAGAAAGTAAAGAGAGAATGAGAAAAACTGAATTGAACCTATCAGTAGTGAGAATAATATGTTTAGCGAAAAGAAGTTGTCTAAAACCAAAATGTATGTGTTAAACATTTGATGGTCATGTTTTTTCTTTAGAAGCTTTCACATATCCTATTCTAATGTTTCTGTCAAATAAACATTTTAATTTCAGTACATATGACTCAAGCCACTTTTTGTTGCCTACTTATTAAGATCTCATTTAAATGTATCTGATAATATTATTTTTACTGATTTGTATTCTGTGGCACAGTTACAAATGTATACCAATATCTAAACTCAAAATAATTGTTTTAAAAATGATTGATGCATGTCATGTCAGTATTTTCTGCATACATTTTTTATATTTTTTTTTAAAATTATCTCATAAATTCTCAGCCTGTCCATGACTTTTCAACCAAAAGTGCTTCAAAATTTTAAGAATTTTCTATACTCGATTTTACTTCATGATTTGTTTCTACGATTTTCCTGTATACAAAACTAAAGCTTTGTTTAATGTAAAATAATTGATGCAATCTAATATTTTTGAAATGTTTTCTCTAAGTAAAGGTCATTGACATCATGTATCCCTCTCTTCTTTGACCTACCTATTTAACTTATAGACAAAATCTGCTGGCTCATTATATGTTAACTGTTAGTTTTGTAAGCAAATAGTGATATTTAGCTTTTGCATGCATTCCCAAGAAATTTGAAGTCTATTTACATTTTATGATGGTTAAATTTCATTTGCAAGCTAAAAAATATGTCTTTATATTACAAGGATTTCTGGTCCTCTCTGAGAATGTATGTGAAATGTTTAAGTCTCAGTTAATAATATTATTTATCTACTATAATTAATGATGGAAAATTTAAAAACCTGGGTGTTAATTGTCTTTTAAGTTAGAATTTTATTGAGTCCCATGATACACATTGCTTCTAGTGGTTACTAATCATATTTGATTTACTCGTAATCTAGCACAAACATATTTATTTCTTATGGTAAGAATGCTTCCATGTACATACGTGCCTCTATCATATAGGCTTAACCAATACAAATTATCATGCACAGAAATGTTTTTTGAATGTGGATATTTTGTTTTGGTTACATATAAAAGTTAGTTTTTTTTTTATAGCTGCAGGTAATATGAAACCACACTCTAATCTGTTACTGTAGTTTTCTTTACTGCTGCAGGTAATATGACGCCAGACTCTAATCTGTTACTGTAGTTTTCTTTATTGCTCCAGGTAATATGACACCAGACTCTAATCTGTTACTGTAGTTTTCTTTATTGCTCCAGGTAATATGACACCAGACTCTAATCTGTTACTGTAGTTTTCTTTATTGCTGCAAGTAATATGACACCAGACTCTGTGTTACTGTAGTTTTCTTTATTGCTGCAAGTAATATGACACCAGACTCTAATCTGTTACTGTAGTTTTCTTTATTGCTGCAGGTAATATGACACCAGACTCTAATCTGTTACTGTAGTTTTCTTTATTGCTGCAGGTAATATGACACCAGACTCTAATGTGTTACTGTAGTTTTCTTTATTGCTGCAAGTAATATGACACCAGACTCTAATCTGTTACTGTAGTTTTCTTTATTGCTGCAGGTAATATGACACCAGACTCTAATCTGTTACTGTAGTTTTCTTTATTGCTGCAAGTAATATGACACCAGACTCTAATGTGTTACTGTAGTTTTCTTTATTGCTGCAAGTAATATGACACCAGACTCTAATCTGTTACTGTAGTTTTCTTTATTGCTGCAAGTAATATGACACCAGACTCTAATCTGTTACTGTAGTTTTCTTTATTGCTGCAAGTAATATGACACCAGACTCTAATGTGTTACTGTAGTTTTCTTTATTGCTGCAAGTAATATGACACCAGACTCTAATGTGTTACTGTAGTTTTCTTTATTGCTGCAAGTAATATGACACCAGACTCTAATCTGTTACTGTATCACTGGCAATTCCACACATTTTTAGATGTAAAATTTGTACTTTACAGTTCTTTATAATTTGTGTGTGGTCCTCTCTTTTAATTTTTTTAAAAAGTTGTTTGTTTTGTTATTCTATAATTGGTTTATCATTTTGAATAAAACTAGAGTAGTATTAGGATACACTCTTTTTCAGAATTTTAGATTTAAAGATGGATTATAAAAAAGTGGAAATAATTAAAATGTCTACAAGTCCAGATGGTTTCCTATTTTAATTTGTTTGCCTGTAGGACATGACCAAAGAACTTGAGTTCAATTCAGATAGCCAAGGGAACTTAAAGTATTAGTGCATCATAATTGTCACATGAGCACATTTACTCTCAGAGAAAATAATAACAAATGAGACAGTCAAATTTAAGATATATGTACAATTTATTGACAGTTCAATTTATGTACCATGCTAGTACAATTTGTTATGTACAACAACATAAAGGCTTTATTTATATATATTTATAAAAAATGTAGTACAATAATAAAATCAGCAAATTGTTCCACGGGTTTAAACATAGATTTCTTCAAAATGATGAAATTCAATTTAAACATGCACTTACATAACCATGTGTACACACAATTAGTACTAAAGAGCTCCAAGGGTCCTAAAATAAAATATCCTACAACTGCCCCTCCCCCTGTTGTTGGCCCTGAAAAGCTCAATTAACTTAGTGTTCAATGTAGTTATTGCTCAATAATCCAATCAAATAGATGATCAGTTCAAGCTAGCAGGCACAGCAGCGTAGTGTTACAAGATTGTTCATTAAGTTTTAGCACCATGTGTAAACATGAAATAAATTAAAAGCATCATTATTGTGTTTTTAAGTGTTTTGATGTCAGAGATATTCCTTGTCACAATAATGCCCGTCATTGGGAGTTGCACTGGGACCTACATACCATACCAGGTTCCATCCTTTCATTTCAATAGTTTATTGTGATAGGAAGGAGTTTTGATTTTTAACATTTGAACTTTCAAACGACAAGTTGTTTCATTTTGAAATTTAAATCAGGAGTGGTCAACCCACAGGCTGCATGCGGCGGCAACAACCCACAGGCTGCATGCGGCAACCCACAGGCTGCATGAGGCCCACAGGCTGCATGAGGCAACCCACAGCCTGGCTCATTAAATATTGCGGCCTGGTGGATGTATCTGTCATCATTCAATTTGCGCTTATTTTCATTCTTGGTTTAAATATAAATTTGCCTATCTATGTGTGTCAGTAAACCCCCCCCCCCCTTTTTTGGACTGATTCTAAATAAATCAATTCAAATGAGTAAATTTAAATAAAAGTGATAAAACTATATTTCTATTTAGCAACTACTAAAAAGGATTAGTACGAATCCAGGTCAAGGAAACCTATATTTCCATTAGCATCTCTTCTGTGGCGCTCTGATTTGGTTTAGATTCGAGTTTCTCTCCCGGGATCCCCCACAATCTATAATCAACAAAAGACATTTTGTGTACACACTTTTAGAATACAATTTTCTTTTTTAAAATTTCAGCAAGTCACAGATTGTCACCCATTGTTGCTCTAAGCCAGGACATTGTAAACATCTAGTAAATTGCACTGAATTATATAAGCTCAGCAGTTCTAGATCATATGTGCTTAAGCGTTTTCAAATCACAGCTACATTTTTTATATAAGCTAGTGACTTACAGCGATATATTGAAAAAAATGGCTTTTACATAGGGTAAATTCTATGAAAACTTATTAAAACTAGATTTTTCAGTATTGTAATTAACAACAAATTTGATGCAACACTTGAAGTTGTTACTCAAACGCTGACAATTAAACAAGAAAACTTAGAAATTCACTATTTCTTTCTTAGTGTATTGTTTCAGACGGCAACCCCAGAGATATCCTTTCACAACCCCATTGAAGGTGACATCCCTTGGGCTGGGTACCTTTCCACTAGTTACTAGTAACTTACTATACCAAGATGTTTATGTGTCGAGCTACTTCTATCACTGTATCACTACTGTACATGTCAGTATGACATGCATAAATGGATATATGTATTAATAGTATTATTTGAAACAAACTCTTCTTACCTTTGGTACAAGTTGTTAGAAACATTGGCTTGCAAATATTTTGTGGAGGATTTGAAAATAGAATTTTGGAATGCAAAATTCTTATAAATTATTATAAAGTGTAAAGGTTTTTTTCTACAGACAGTCATATATGATTTTGTTTAACAAGCATATTATTAGCGAGTCATCTATAACATGAGCTAAATAAGGAGAATAAAGCACTTAGTAGCCTTAATATTGTTTTTCATTTATCAATAGAGAATAAAACTATGCAATTATATTTTTTTTAAAACAACACTTGTAAAGTTTAATTCAATTTATAATACATTTTTCATTGAATTAATTTGATCCCGGGTTGGGAGATATTTTGATCCAGGGATAAGCAAAACCCTGGGAAATGAGAAACCGTGGTGTAGAATGAAATGAGAAACCGTGGTGTAGAATGATGAAAAACTAATTAAAGTAAGTGCCAAAAAGCATTCCTGCAATTTGAAATTCTCAAAACTTTTCTGAGGATGTGCTCACTGAGACCCCTTCCTAGGTCTAAATAATATATTAAACACCTTTATGATATGGAGTCTAGTTCACAGCAAAATGGAATATGGAACATTTCAAAACTTCTTTAGTACCATAGTACAAATACAACAATACAATTTTACATGGCACAATTTTCAAAAGTAAAAAATATTTGTATAAAATTCAAGTCCTATAAATACATTCAGTGAAAACATATTTTTTTAAAGACTAGTAGGCGTTGTAAAAAAAAAAAAAATGAAGAAATGAAAACGTTTAACTTGCAAAGGCTAGAACTAAAGTATGTCTTTTTAAAAATATTTCTTAGACTTTATCTGTTTATTCAGTACATCTATGTTAACACATGCAGTAGTGTTGAAATGCATACCAGTGTAAAGAGATGCAGACCATTGTAAAGATATACAGACCAGTGTTAAGATATACAGACCAGTGTAAAGAGATGCAATTATTGAAGCTTGCACACCACATTGACAAATATATAAAAATAAAGAAAAGATGTTTTCCCCCCATGTACAAACACCCTTTATATCTAATAAAGGAGATTTATAATTATAGTGGATGAAATATTTGCCATGTTATTAGATATGTGAATTGCATAGTATTAGATGTAATGGCATTAAATAACCAAAGAAAACAGTGAATGTACAGATTTTAAAACAGGAACAGTCAATGTGACCATTGTTTGATTCAACAGGCAAATAATCAAATAATTTTGTTTCAGTAGCTTATAGAGCAACATTGCTCCTTTTGTATTTTAACAGTTTTAAAAATTAACATAATTGTTACATTACATATTTTTATATTATATTTAAAACAAAAGTATTACAGAAAAGAACATTTATACCCCTGAAGAAAAAAACGGTTTAATTAAATTTATGAGAAATGTTACTACTGCCTTTTTAATTAAACAATGTCATTCAACTTCTCAAAGCTTACATTTTAATAATAAATTATTTTTTTCTCCTTTGGCTACAGGTTAAATAAACCACATGGCAGTAGCCATTGGCCTTACATTTACTTCTAATGATCTACTTTAGGATAAAATTAAAAGTTCTATAATAAAACACAAGTGATCTAGATGCCCTATTGTTCAAGTAGCTAATGGGTTATTTTGTGTCTCATCGGTATAAACATTTTATTAGACCTAAACATATGTCATGTTGATTCACTGATACAACCCAGAGGCAACATCAACAGATACAACCCAGAGGCAACATAAACAGATACAACCCAGAGGCAACATCAACAGACCCTTTACATCGACATGCAATTTGAAAATTTAGTTTACACTTTTTGATTACATTAATATCAAAATTTTATTTGCTGCATACCTGGAATTACTGAACAATTCTAACATTGAATTATATAAGAAGAATTGATTTCCCCAATGTCATAAACCAAGATAGCAGAAAGGATGTTTGTTGAGTCAAGATTCAATTACAGTACTGCCCCCAATGTCATAAACCAAGATAGCAAATACGATGTTTGTTGAGTCAAGATTCAATTACAGTACATACCACCCCCCCCAATGTCATAAACAAGAGAGCAGATATGATGTTTGTTAAGTTAAGTCAAGATTCAATCATAGTACCGCCCCCCAATGTCATAAACCAAGATAGCAGAAAGGATGTTTGCTGAGTCAAGATTCAATCATAGTACCGCCCCCAATGTCATAAACCAAGATAGCAGAAAGGATGTTTGTTGAGTCAAGATTCAATCAGAGTACTGCTATCATTGAATGTTCAAGACACAGACAAGA